GCACTTAGGGTTTGGTGGGACGTGTGTTTCCGTGTGTTCAGCCGTGTACGCGGCCGTGGACCCGCAGGGTCGTCGGGTGACTCCGTGTGCAACTGTCCGAGGAGCTGCGGGACTGTTTCCGAAGAGACTGTCCTGCGTCACGTCCCCGCCTGCGTGGCGGCCGGCTCCGACGTCTGCACGTCCTGGCCGGCACTTGTCACTGCGTGTCGGGGTCGGGCTGTCCGGGGGGCCGTGACGTGGCGTCTCCCGGCTCTGGTTCGCATTTCCCTGCTCCCGACGGTGTGAGCGTCCTGCTGCTGGTACTTTCCCTTCTACATGCAGTGCCGGGGCGGGGTGGGGGGAAGGGTGGGGGGCTGCGGGCTCTGCGGTGCAGACAGGACAGGAATGCCACAGTGGCCCTGTGGGACTGGAGCCCGCGATCCCTTACAGTCCCCGACAAGGCCCACGGCCCAGGGTCCCCCCCCGCCCCCCTCAGCCACAGCCCCGCAGGTGCTCCTCACCCCCAAGCACGTGCTGGGAGCCCGGCCTAGCCACGCGGCTACTGTGTCCTGTGGGACAGGGCACCGTGAGGTGCTCGAGCAAGGTCTCTGACCCACGGGGCGCTGCCCGCCAGCCCAGCCTGTGCCCCGCTATCTGTGTGGGGCTGAGGGTGCAGGGCCAGGCAGGGAGAGGAAAGAAGGGGGTTTGGGAGACAGCCGTACCCTTGGCAAAGTTCCAAGAGAAGGAACAGGGTAGGGGCCCGAGTTCCTGCAGGGAGGCCCCCCAGCTGGGGCCGTAGCATGAATAGAGGCTTCGGGGGAGCCCGGCGAGGCCTGGAGACAGGCTCCAGGGTGGCTGGGGAAAAGCTGTGTGGAGGGGCGTGGAGGGGCGGGCTGGGCCTGCCTTTTCTCCCTGTGGCGTGGGGACTTGTGCCCCTCCCTGCCATGGGCACCCCAGGAGCAAGAGCAGGTCCCTGCCGGCCGGCCAGGGCGGTCTGCACCCGGAGTACCCGCAGGCTGGGGAAACCGAGGCACGGGTGGGGGGGGGGGGGCGGGCGGCGGCCGGCGGGGTGAGCGCCCGCGGCTGGGGGGCAGCGCGCGGAGAGCTCTGTGGCTAGATTACGCCCAGTACAGGAATTCTCGCTCTGCCAGTAATCACCCTGACTTCCCAGGCAGCCATCATTTCCTGAAAGTCAGCAGCCTTAGGGGAAGTAGGCGCTGGCGGTGACTAACCCGACATGCAAATGCGGCCGGGCCGAGAGCGGCCCAGCGCCGCCTCGGTCCTGCGGGAGCCGCCCGCCGCCGTCCAGGGCGCCCTCCGCTGCCGCCGCCCCCTCGCCATGTCCCAGCTGCGCTTCTGGCTGCACTTCGCGGCCCTCAACAAGGTAACTGCGCGCGGCTCGCTCCCGCCTGCCCACAGCCGGCCCCCCGCCGCCAGAGCCCGGGCCGCCGGGACCGCGGAGAGCGCCCCATGGCGGCCGGCCCGACCCTGACAATCTCGGGGTGTCCTGGGCCGGAGCTGGCGGAGTGCAGTTTGAGGGGGGCTCCCAGCGGCCAGGTAGGAACGGCATCCTCCCTCCGTCCCTCCTCGGGATCCCCAGGGGTCCCGGACGGCTTCCAGCCACTAACCCAGGGCTAGCAGGACAGAGCCTGTCTCCACAGGGGCGTTTCTGGGGTCCGAGTGGCGCTGAGCAGCTGCAGGTCCCCGAGGGAAGCCCAGGGTGAGGTCTGGGGTGGGGCCATCCTGTCCTGTGCCCCCATTCTGTGGGGGACACTGTTTGGCAGGTCTTCATCTGTCCGGGGAGCCCCAAAATGCTGAGAGACAGTAACCATGGCGGTGACCCTGTGACCTCCCTGGTCCCCCAGAACAGTCAGGGTGACCCCCCACTCCCTCCCCGCTGGGGGCTGTTGCTGACGGAGTAGGGTGGGGGCCTGGCGTCTTAGGAGGCACTTTGCTGGGAGTCCGTGGAGGGTGATTTTGGGTTTGGGTCATCTTGGGGATCTGCTGGTGGCCGCTGGGCATCTGGTCCCGACCCAGGGGCTGGTGAGCCGCCCACCTGGGAGGGGTCAGCCCTCGCCTCATCCTGCCACCCTTGCCGGGCAGGGAGTGTGGCTGGGAGGGACCCTGGTGCCCCACGTGAAGCCCTGCCTGCCTTGGACCCAAGAATCGAGTGGAGCAGTGCCCCGAAGTGGGCAGAACCCTCCCACTTTGCTAATAGCCCTTCTTCCGGAGCAGCCGTGTGCGGAGTTCCCGCACAGGACAGAGCTCCCGGGGCCCCACGCGCAGGCCCTCCGCTCACGCCGCACGTCCGCACAGTGACGGGCAGGCCCCGTCCCCTCATTCACCAGAGATCCTCGCTCTGTCCCAGGACTCCATCCGACCCCACGGGATTTCCGTTGTCCCTCTGCTTCGGACCCTCCGGGTCAGGACCCTGAGTCCACTGTTCCTCGTGTGGATGCCCTGGGAGGTCGGAGGAGGGCTGGCCGGGGGTCCCGCAGGTCGTCCCCAGGCTGCGTTCATCCCATCAGGGGTCCCTGCTGCTCACACAGCTCCTGCCTGTGGACGCTGGCCCTGTCTCCTGCCGGCTGTGCTGTCCGGGTCCACACCATCCTCATGGGAAGGGGTTGCTCTGCGCCGCCCACGCAGGGGGGCCCACAAGCACCCACGTTTTGCCAGGTGCCATTCCTCTTCTTCGGCCCTGGTCAGGGCCCCTCCCCACCTGCGTACACTCCTGCTGTGCCTGCTTCACCTTCAGGAAGCAGGCCCACCCCTCGGGGCCTCCTGGCGCTGCCAGCCTCATGGCCTTAGGGGCACTTGTCACTGTGACCAAGCTTGCGGGGTGATCTCTGGGAAGGCCATGCTCAGATGTGGTTCTAGAAGGATTTTAGCAAAGATAGACGGCCACCCATACCCAGACCTCCCCTGGCAGCCCACAGGGGTCCGTGCTCCATGCGGCCTCCGAGGACAGAGCACCCATCTTCCATGGCCCAGCCTTCCCACCTCGGACCCCAGCTGCCCTGGAATGTGGCAGAGTCCCCGGGAGGTCCTGGTGGCCAGAGAGCAGGCCTCACAGTTAGCAGGGCCAGACCTCCCACTGCCCGCTCAGCACCACCCCCCGCCCACTGGCCCCATAGATGGCTGCTCTGACCTGTGCCACTGCTGGTCATCCCAAGCAGTGTCGAGGTGTGCCTTTCCCACTCGGGGGTTCGTGTGGCTCTCCTGCCCCTGTCCCCATGCTGCGGACTTTTATACACCTTCCCAGGCCACTGCCTGCCTGAGCTGGTCCTGCCAGCCACAGTCTGTCTCCTCGCCCGGGCTTGTCCAGGCTGTCGAGTCCTGCCAGGGTCTGCCTCCCCTGGGCCCCAGCTGGGTGCAGCCTGGGGGGCGGGAGTAAGTGGTGGTCCCTCTGGTTTCCTATATGTTGTCGGCCACCTGGGTACCTGTGAAGGTGCCCAGCCTCATACCAGCTGACTTGGCCACAGGTGGTCTTGCACAGACCCTGAGTCCTGGCCTGGCTGTGGGACCAGCTCCATCCAGGAGATAGACTCCCGCAGATAGCAGCCCCTGCGTCCGGCCACTGTCAGGGAGGCCTGGCCCCATGCCTGCCCACCCCTTCCCGAGAGGGGCCCCGCACAACAGGCCCCAGCCTGCCTGGTCCTCGGGGCTGTGTGTGCTCTGGTGTCCCAGCAGACCCTTAGGAAGCTGGGTGGTATGACCTGGAGGCCCCTACCACCGTCACTACCACCGAGGAATAGGGATCCGATTCCGACACAGATGAATGGGAGGGGAGCCCTCGCAGGTGGAGTGTGGCAGGCCCCGGCACTGGCCACAACCCGGCGCCTGTTCTCAGGGACCTGGAGGCTGCGGGGTCGCTGCCCTCCACCTCCAGAAGCCAGCTCACCTGTGTTCACGGGGCCTGAGCCTGGTGTGGCAGGACGGGCTCCAGGCCCACGTGTCTCCTTCCTCTGCAGAGTCTGCGACCCCCCTGGCCAGCCCTGCCCGTCTTCCTCACCATGCCCCAGGGGTTAGTGCGCCAGCATGTCAGCCCGGCTGGCCTGGCCCTCCGAGGGCCCTGATGGGCTGAGACATATAAGGGGTGCCCGTGCCTGGGGACTCCTGGAGGGCAGCTCTCCACTGCTCTCACCCAGCCCTGCCTCCCTCCCCCATGAAGCGTCTGCACTGACTCACCTGAGTCAGCATGACCGGCCTCTAATATGGAGGTTGGCCTGGGAGGGCCTCATCTGGGAGGGCCTGTGGGGGCTTCTTCCCCAAGAGGGGTTGGCTGACCCTGGATCTAGGCCTGCAGGGGCTCAGGGAATCAGAAGGGGCTTCCCCTACCCGGCTTCAGGCCCCCAGGAGTCCCTGTCTATAACACGGGCCCCTACTGCCCTCTCCTGGTGGTCGGTGGCACGGACACCACCACCCAGGGGGACGGTCTCTAGGGCGTCTCCGCCTGGGGGCTCACTCCCTGCTGGTCCAGGAACCCTCAGGGCTGGTCGCCAAGTGTCCCAAGGATACACACAGGCGCTCAGCGTCTGTGACCTGGGGGTGGGGAGGGGCAGCATGGGAATAACCCTGGCATTGCCTCTCATATCTTTTACATTTAGGTTTCTGAACAGCGTGTAGCCTGTACAACAAACTCCCCCTTGAAGGTGTGGGGCTTTCTGTGTCCTGATATCCGTGTACTGGTGTGACATGATGCTCCTAGTGTCACCTAATTCCAGAACGTTGCATCTCCCCAAAGGCAACCCTGTTTCCATCTGTTGTCACTCCCCACCCCCTTCCCAGCCCCCATGAGCCCCCTTCCCGTCCATGGAGGAGCCTGGTCTGGACGTGTCACACGTGTGAACTCACACCCTGTGTGGCCTTCTGTGTCTGGTTCTCTCCCTGAGCGTCGTGGGCTCGGGGTCCGTCCCTGGGGTCGCGCGTGGGGGCACCTCTCCAGCTCACGGCAGGAGTGTGTCCATCATGCCTGGGCCCCCCAGACGCGCTGGCTGCCTCTCATCCTGCCTGTCTTCCAGGATTCCGCGTACCTCGACGACCTTTCCAACGCCTCCATCTTCTCTTCGTCCGTGGACTCCCTCTCAGACATCGCAGACACACCGGACTTCCTGCCGGCCGACAGCCTCAGCCAGGTGCCCACCATCTGGGACGTGAGCACCGGCCCCGCCGCTCAGGAGAAGGTGAGCTCAGCCCGAGAGGCCTCTGTGCAGGCAGCTGGCCCGGGGCCCCATCCCAGGCTGGGGGCGGCACTGGGTTGCTCAGAGACACCAGTGAGGTCGCTGGTCAGGGGTCCTGGCGGTTTCCGCATGTCCGAGAATGCAGGGGTGCGGCATGGGGGAGGGGAGCTCCTGCACTGGGCTCCTTACCCCTCCTTCTGCAAAGGGTCCTGTCACACAGCCAGCCATCCCCCTTACCGGCTCCAGTGGCTCGGTCTCGACGCGTCACTCTCCTGGGCATACGGGGTTCACCGGGAGACCAGCCAGAGCCAGCTTCCAGCACCGGTTCTCCCTCTGGGGGTCCTGGGCGCTGTCCGGAGGCATTGTGGGGGGCGGGTGTTCCTGGCTTTGAGAAGGTGGGGGCCCAGGAGCCAGAGGGCTATGTTGGCGCCTGTGAAGCTTGTGATGGGGGAGCGTGGGTGACATCCAGCCAGATGGGAGGGGTCCCCAGTGTGCCAGGCCCAGACTCCAGCTCATTCCCGGACTGGGCAGAGGCACATCGGGGAGGGAGGCGAGGCCCTGGCCGGCTCCCCTCCAGGGTTCTCTGCGGGAAGAGAAGCCCCTAGCTCTTCGGAGCCGGAACCCGGTTCAAGTCTCTGACAGGGAGCACTGGGAATGTGGGTTGAGGGATCGTGCCTCTAAGGGGGAGCAGCGTCTTCCATCCCGAGCCCTGCCTGGTGGCCCACAGCAGTGGACACGATGCCTGCCCAGCCGGAGGACGGCTGCAACCCGGTGCTCACGGCCCGCTGCTTGCCCGCCCAGCGGGCGTCCTGCCTCAGCCTTCCAGGAACCCAGGCCCCGGGGTTTTTTTTTATTTGTTTTTTTGGGGGAGGGGGTTAATTGAATGTTTTTGTTAATTAAAAAAAAGGGGGGGATGGGGAATAGAGTTTAGATTTCCTGCTCCTGGTTTTGTCTTCCGTCTCATTTTATTTTTCAAAAAAGCTCTGGCGCGTCCTTAACCTTCGAAAACAGCGGGAGTCCTAGAAATCAAGTGGGTTATCACACACCCCACGCCTTGTCATCCCCCAAGACAGGAAGGGACCCTCGAGCTCTGTGTGTGCTCAGGAGTGAGCCCCTGGTGCTCACAGTCATGGGTCTGGGCATGGTGGGGGTCCTGGAGGGGATGGGCTCTGGAAGGGACTCCTACATTTCTATTTGTTTCTCACGTTTGTGGTTTTATGATGACCACACTACTTTCATGATTTTTATTTTTAAGGGAGGGTGTGTTTTAGAATTGTGGACCCTGCTGCGTCCACCCCGTGTGTCCGAGGACAGGTCACCCCCAGCAGCCTCAGTGGGATCACTCCCTGAGGGCGGGCCGGTGGAGGGCCGGGTGTGACATGGTTCTCCAGGGTTCGGGTCTCCTGTCCTGGACCCTCTGGGCTCTGGATGCCACCTGAGTTCTGATGCCAGGGGTCCCTGTGTCCCCATGGCTGATGGGCTCCCCCCCGGCACCACCTTTGTCCACGAGGTTCTTGGTCCCCTGGGACCATGCTCAGGTGGTCCATCATCCCGTGGCATGACTGTGGTCTGGGACACGGGACACGTCCTTACTTTGTTGATCTGCATGATGGGGGCTGTGGCTTGTTGCTCAGAAGAGCCAGCTGCCAGGCAGCGGAAAGGAGGCAGCAGCTGGCCGTGGCTGAGGGGCATGAGGGCAGGGTGAGAACCCGATGGAGACCAGGCTGGGGGCCCATGGGGGGCATTTCCTCCCCCGATCTTGCCTGCTGGCTCATGTCCACTCTCTGCTCTAGCTGCTCCTGCCCACTGGGCCATGGACAGGCCTTGAGGACCCCATGTCCTCCCTTTCTAGCACCCCACTTCTTGTCAGCTACCAGGTAAGCTGGGCCCCGTCCCCAGTGCTGCCTCTCGTAGGGCCTGGGATGCTTGGGGGCACCTGTTTGGAAGCAGGGCCTCCCCATTGTATGGGTGGGGAAACAGGCCCTGGGGAGGCACCACATGGGGGGGGGGTGTGCCCCATTCACTGGGCTGGTTGCCCCCTGGGGGAGGGAGGGCTGTGCTGGGCAGGACGGTCCCGTGCAGCTGGGACCACAGCTCTGGCGATGACCTTCAGTCCCAGAGTCAGCCTGAGGAGGAAGACGAGGCAGAGGAGGATGAGGGGGAGGAGCTGGGCCACACAGAGACCTACGCCGACTACGTACCGTCCAAATGTGAGTGCGCTGCCAGCTGCCAGCCCCCAGCTGGGCCCTGCCAGGCCTGCACAGCCCCAGCGGGCTCCAGCCAGAGGCAGGGCCAGTGGCGGGAGCTACGGGCTGGTTCCTGGGACTATCTGCAGGGGCACAGGCTGGCTTTGGCTGTGGGCTGGCCTTGGGGGCAGTTCTGTAAACCCCACTTGGCACAAAACCGGAGGCACCATAGAGGGTCCCATGAGAAGTGAGCCCCACCTTCCTCCCTGAGCAGGGATCTGCCCCCCATTCTTTTGTGCAAAACACTGATGGGCCCCCTACCCCAGACCCCGGTCTGCCCCTCTACCTTCTGTGAGCATCTCGCAGGCAGCCCTGGACCCTGGCAGCCCACCCTAGACCCTGGCCACGCCCCTGATGTGCCCTTGGCCATGCCTCTCCAGCCAAGATCGGGAAGCAGCATCCGGACCGCGTGGTGGAGACCAGCACCCTGTCCAGTGTCCCACCACCAGACATCACCTACACCCTTGCCCTGCCTGCTTCCGACAGCGGGGCCCTGTCTGCCCTACAGCTAGAGGCCATCACCTATGCCTGCCAGGTGACCTCGGGTCTCCCGCCCCACCGGCCCACGTTGTGTGGGGGGGGCCCTCGAGGCCCCGGGGAGGGGCAGCCCGCCAGACCCTGACCGCCCTTCCTTGGTCCGCAGCAACATGAGGTCTTGCTCCCCAGCGGCCAGCGGGCCGGCTTCCTCATCGGCGATGGTGCAGGTGTGGGCAAGGGTCGCACGGTGGCTGGCATCATCCTGGAGAATTACCTGCGGGGCAGGAAAAAGTCCCTGTGGTGAGTGTGCCCCCCCCCCCCCCCGTGGCCCACGCCCAGGTGAGCAGGCGAGGAGGGGAGGGGGCACCGTGGCACCCACCAGCCCGCACTCCTAGGTTCAGTGTCTCCAACGATCTCAAGTATGACGCGGAGCGGGACCTGCGGGACATCGATGCACTGGGCATCGCGGTGCACGCGCTGAGCAAGGTGGGTGGGGTCGCCCCCTCCTCAGGTGGGGGCCCTTAGCGCTAGCCCGGCAGCGCCCCCATGCCCGCCCCTCTCCTCCAGATCAAGTACGGGGACAACACTACCTCAGAGGGCGTCCTCTTCGCCACCTACTCTGCCCTCATCGGGGAGAGCCAGGCCGGCGGGCAGCATCGCACGCGCATCCGCCAGATCCTGGAGTGGTGCGGAGAGGCCTTCGATGGAGTCGTATCCTGCCTCTGCTGTGGACGCGGGGAGGTGCGGTAGGCGCGCCAGAGGGGGTTGCGCCTGGAGGGGCGGGGCCTGGAGGGGCGGGGCCTGGAGGGGCGGGGGGGTGGAAGGGAGCGTGGAGTCAGCGAGGTTTTGGGGCTGGAGGGGGCGGGGTCGGAGGACGGTCCTGGGGCGGGGGTCAAGGGAGAGAGGGGCGGAGGGGGGGGGAGGGGGGGGTGGGGTCCGGAAGGGGGCAGGGGGAGGAGGATGGGGGGAGGGGCGGAGCTCTGGAATCCCGGGACCTCACCCCGGAAACTGGAGGAGTTCCCGGCAGGAGGCTGGCGGTCACTGACCGCTGTTGTCCGCTGCGGTCTGGCCCGGCTTCCCAGCTCCGGCTAGCTTCACCCCCGACCGCAAGCGTGGGGGCGGGCCCCAAGGCCGGGAAGGTGTCCCCGGCTGTGGGAATGGGGCAGAGCGCGCCACCTCCCCCTCTGCCTCCGCAGCTCCCCGTGCGTTCATCGGGGCTCGTTGGGGGCGGACAGGCCAGGCTGGGGCAGCTAGAGGACAACTGGGCTCCTGGGGCTTGGCAGGGAGCTCTGCTGACCTGTCTGTCGCTGTCGGTATCGGTCAGGGCTCCAGGCCCTTCCGGACAGAAAGTGCAGGGACCGGAGAGGTCTGCAGCCTCCTCCTTTCTGGAGCGCGGAGGAGTGTTTTATTCCTCCGGGATGTGTAGCAGCAGCTTGTGGAAGGTCCGGCCCCACGCAGGACTGTCTGGGGCCGGCCGCATGTTAACTGCGAGTTGACTGCACTCAAGGGCCACAAGCACTTTGCCAGCGGACCCCCTCAGTCTCCCCAGTGAGGTGCCCGGTTTCCTGGGGATTTCTGCACTGGGGTCCACGGAGAGTTCTCTGGGCCTCATGCAGCAGGGCTGCCTCGTGCGCACGGCTGTGTTGGCACTGCTGGTGCTGCTCTGGGGCAGGGCCTGGCTCTCGCTGAAGGGTTCTGGGGGTACCTTCCTGTCCATGGTCCCCAGACGTCGTCCCTTGGGTGCCTTGGCACGTGACTTTACTCCTCCCTGCCTGACCCCGGGCATGTGTGCTCATCACCGCGTGTCCTGCCGCTCTGTCCCGTCTCAGGGACATGGCGGTGGTCTCCAGCATCCCTGTTATAAACAGCCCGAGTGACCAGCCAGTGTGCCCCATCACACCCTCTCACTTTCCTCGGGCCCGTCCCCAGAGCGGGGTGGCTGGCCCCCAGGCCTCCCAGCACTCTTGGGAAGTCCCTCTCACTCCTGGTCCAGTCACAGGTCAGAAGAGGGACATCGGCCCTCTGTGTCTTTCCGGTTTGTGTGCAGAAGTTCGTAGGGTTACTGTGGCCAGACCCTTGCTGTCCTCCAGAGCAGGGCCCACCGGCCGGAAGAAGGGACCTGAGGCCACTCGCATGGCCTGGGGCAGACGATGGCGTGTAGAGTGGTTGCCCACTCGCGCCTGTCCGAGGACCATGTGCTTGGCTCCACAGTCCTGCTTCTCGGTCCTGTGTCCACACATCCCCTGTGCCCTTGACACGCCGTAGGTATGCGTGTGTAGCCGCACCCCTTCCTGTAAGAACGCGTTCGTGACCTGCACCCTCGCCTGGAAACTGCTGCCCCCCACTCCTCTCCTCATTCTCTAGCCTGTTCACTTAGGGCCCTCGGTCTGTGGGTGTTGACGCAGAGAGCCAGCACCACCGCTCCCCAGCTCCCCTGGGGGAACAGCTGCAGCCAGGAGGCCCGCCCCGCTCACTCAGAGACCCCGTTTCCCTGTGCTCGCTCGTGGCACTCCTTAATGTCCTCACCCAGCCGGCGCCTGCCAGGTCTGTTGGTGGAGGCCTCCAGGGACCTCCAGGCTGTTTCCTCCTCGCCCTGATGGCCTCCAGGCACCTTTCTGAGCCTCCCCTGGGGCATCAGACCAGGGCCTGTGGGGCTGCCTGCATTCCAGAACAGTCCTTAACCCCTGCCTGCCCCAGATTGTGTTTGATGAGTGCCACAAAGCCAAGAACGCCAGCTCCACGAAGATGGGCAAGGCCGTCCTGGACCTGCAGAACAAGCTGCCCCAGGCCAGGGTGGTCTATGCCAGCGCCACAGGTGGGCATGGGGGAGCGGGTGCCCCAGGCCAGGGTGGTCTGTGCCAGCACCCCAGGTGGGCACGGGGGAGTGGGTGAGCGGGACCTGCGGGACATCGATGCACTGGGCATCGCGGTGCACGCGCTGAGCAAGGTGGGTGGGGTCGCCCCCTCCTCAGGTGGGGGCCCTTAGCGCTAGCCCGGCAGCGCCCCCATGCCCGCCCCTCTCCTCCAGATCAAGTACGGGGACAACACTACCTCAGAGGGCGTCCTCTTCGCCACCTACTCTGCCCTCATCGGGGAGAGCCAGGCCGGCGGGCAGCATCGCACGCGCATCCGCCAGATCCTGGAGTGGTGCGGAGAGGCCTTCGATGGAGTCGTATCCTGCCTCTGCTGTGGACGCGGGGAGGTGCGGTAGGCGCGCCAGAGGGGGTTGCGCCTGGAGGGGCGGGGCCTGGAGGGGCGGGGCCTGGAGGGGCGGGGGGGTGGAAGGGAGCGTGGAGTCAGCGAGGTTTTGGGGCTGGAGGGGGCGGGGTCGGAGGACGGTCCTGGGGCGGGGGTCAAGGGAGAGAGGGGCGGAGGGGGGGGAGCGAGAGGGTGGGGTCCGGAAGGGGGCAGGGGGAGGAGGATGGGGGGAGGGGCGGAGCTCTGGAATCCCGGGACCTCACCCCGGAAACTGGAGGAGTTCCCGGCAGGAGGCTGGCGGTCACTGACCGCTGTTGTCCGCTGCGGTCTGGCCCGGCTTCCCAGCTCCGGCTAGCTTCACCCCCGACCGCAAGCGTGGGGGCGGGCCCCAAGGCCGGGAAGGTGTCCCCGGCTGTGGGAATGGGGCAGAGCGCGCCACCTCCCCCTCTGCCTCCGCAGCTCCCCGTGCGTTCATCGGGGCTCGTTGGGGGCGGACAGGCCAGGCTGGGGCAGCTAGAGGACAACTGGGCTCCTGGGGCTTGGCAGGGAGCTCTGCTGACCTGTCTGTCGCTGTCGGTATCGGTCAGGGCTCCAGGCCCTTCCGGACAGAAAGTGCAGGGACCGGAGAGGTCTGCAGCCTCCTCCTTTCTGGAGCGCGGAGGAGTGTTTTATTCCTCCGGGATGTGTAGCAGCAGCTTGTGGAAGGTCCGGCCCCACGCAGGACTGTCTGGGGCCGGCCGCATGTTAACTGCGAGTTGACTGCACTCAAGGGCCACAAGCACTTTGCCAGCGGACCCCCTCAGTCTCCCCAGTGAGGTGCCCGGTTTCCTGGGGATTTCTGCACTGGGGTCCACGGAGAGTTCTCTGGGCCTCATGCAGCAGGGCTGCCTCGTGCGCACGGCTGTGTTGGCACTGCTGGTGCTGCTCTGGGGCAGGGCCTGGCTCTCGCTGAAGGGTTCTGGGGGTACCTTCCTGTCCATGGTCCCCAGACGTCGTCCCTTGGGTGCCTTGGCACGTGACTTTACTCCTCCCTGCCTGACCCCGGGCATGTGTGCTCATCACCGCGTGTCCTGCCGCTCTGTCCCGTCTCAGGGACATGGCGGTGGTCTCCAGCATCCCTGTTATAAACAGCCCGAGTGACCAGCCAGTGTGCCCCATCACACCCTCTCACTTTCCTCGGGCCCGTCCCCAGAGCGGGGTGGCTGGCCCCCAGGCCTCCCAGCACTCTTGGGAAGTCCCTCTCACTCCTGGTCCAGTCACAGGTCAGAAGAGGGACATCGGCCCTCTGTGTCTTTCCGGTTTGTGTGCAGAAGTTCGTAGGGTTACTGTGGCCAGACCCTTGCTGTCCTCCAGAGCAGGGCCCACCGGCCGGAAGAAGGGACCTGAGGCCACTCGCATGGCCTGGGGCAGACGATGGCGTGTAGAGTGGTTGCCCACTCGCGCCTGTCCGAGGACCATGTGCTTGGCTCCACAGTCCTGCTTCTCGGTCCTGTGTCCACACATCCCCTGTGCCCTTGACACGCCGTAGGTATGCGTGTGTAGCCGCACCCCTTCCTGTAAGAACGCGTTCGTGACCTGCACCCTCGCCTGGAAACTGCTGCCCCCCACTCCTCTCCTCATTCTCTAGCCTGTTCACTTAGGGCCCTCGGTCTGTGGGTGTTGACGCAGAGAGCCAGCACCACCGCTCCCCAGCTCCCCTGGGGGAACAGCTGCAGCCAGGAGGCCCGCCCCGCTCACTCAGAGACCCCGTTTCCCTGTGCTCGCTCGTGGCACTCCTTAATGTCCTCACCCAGCCGGCGCCTGCCAGGTCTGTTGGTGGAGGCCTCCAGGGACCTCCAGGCTGTTTCCTCCTCGCCCTGATGGCCTCCAGGCACCTTTCTGAGCCTCCCCTGGGGCATCAGACCAGGGCCTGTGGGGCTGCCTGCATTCCAGAACAGTCCTTAACCCCTGCCTGCCCCAGATTGTGTTTGATGAGTGCCACAAAGCCAAGAACGCCAGCTCCACGAAGATGGGCAAGGCCGTCCTGGACCTGCAGAACAAGCTGCCCCAGGCCAGGGTGGTCTATGCCAGCGCCACAGGTGGGCATGGGGGAGCGGGTGCCCCAGGCCAGGGTGGTCTGTGCCAGCACCCCAGGTGGGCACGGGGGAGTGGGTGCCCCAGGCCAGGGTGGTCTGTGCCAGCGCCCCAGGTGGGCACGGGGGAGTGGGCGCCCCAGGCCAGGGTGGTCTGTGCCAGCGCCCCAGGTGGGCACGGGGGAGGTGCGTCTGCTCCTGGAGCCTTTCTGGGGCTGTGTCCCAGGCCCTGACAGGCGGCTCCCTTGCCCCAGGTGCCTCTGAGCCCCGGAACATGATCTACATGAGCCGCCTGGGCATCTGGGGTGATGGCACGCCCTTCCGAACCTTCGAGGAGTTTCTGCATGCCATCGAGAAGAGGTGGGTGCCCGTCCCTGCCCATGACAGGGGCTGCCAAGGGACCTGCACGGGGCCTGCTGTCTGGTGAGCCGTCTCCACGTCCTGGCCTGCACGCATCTGGCAAGCCGAGGGATCTCGTTCTTTCCCTGCCTGTGCTTCCCATCACTCTGGGGGAAGGAACCCTGCCCTGCTTTTCCTGTACCCCCGGCCCCCGTGGCTCAGGCCAGTCAGAGCGCGGGGCCTCTGCACGTGCTCCCTCCGCTCTCTGTGCCCGTGGCCCTCGCTCACCCTCGGCTCCTGCTGCCGGCCCCTCCCTGGGTCACTCTGCGGCTAGGCGGGACCCAGCGTAATCCGTCAGCCGGCTCTGCTTGTGCACAGGGGCGTGGGCGCCATGGAGATCGTGGCCATGGACATGAAGGTCAGCGGCAGGTACATCGCCCGGCAGCTCAGCTTCTCCGGTGTCACCTTCCGCGTTGAGGAGATCCCCTTGGCCCCGGCCTTTGAGCGCGTCTACAACCGCGCGGCCCTGCTGGTGAGCCAGGCGGCTGGGGATCCCTGATGGTGCCATGAACACAATTGTGCGTTTCCCCTCGGAAGTGCGCTCCGTCACTGTCTGCGTCTGTCCTCAAAGGCGCCACAGGCACTTTTCGGGTCACAGAAGGGAGGAGGCAGCCGGCACGCCCATGCGGCCCCCAGCGTCGTGCTCATGTGGGGGCTCCTCTGTGGCCGGACTGACGTGGGCCTGTAACCAGGCCCCCAGCAGGCCTTGCCACCGCGGTAGGAGCTCGCCGTTCCTGGAGCCTGTGGCTGTCTCCAGCATCCACACCTGTGCCTGCGGCTGGGCCTCATCGCCGTTCTGGCGTGCGGCCGGGCTCCCTTGTTCTGGCCCGCGGTTCCCCTGCGCGGGGCGAGCCCCGAGCCTCAGCCCTGAGAGTTACACTTCCGGCTTAGCTCCAACCAAAGGCGAGCCGCCTCCCCGTGCCGCGGCGGTCATTCTCTGTACTGGGCCCGCCCCCTCGGGGTCGGAAGCTCCCCTGTTGTGAAGGCTACAGTTGTCCCCAGCTGTGGGCTCGGGTCACTGGGGCAGCAGTGCCCTGGGTGAGCCGTCCCGCTCCGCAGTGTCCAGGGCCCCGGGGCTGCTGGCAGGTGGCAGTCACCGCAGATGTCCCCAGCCCTTTCTGAAAGCCCATCCAGGCCCCTGTGCTGCCCGAGTGGGTCTCCTTCCCCGTGGCCTCACCAGCCCCACACGTTTCAGTCCGTTAACGTTTCTCCCCGTTGGGTTGACGCTGCCTCCGTGTCGCTTAGCCACCCACGCCTGTACCCCTGGCCACGAATGCCAGCCCGTGGGGGCCGGGTGGCCCGAGGTGGGAACAAGGGGCGGGAGCCAGGCAGCGGGCAGGCAGCGGCGAGCTCAGCCAGGTGTGTCGTTGCAGTGGGCCGAGGCCCTGGGCGTGTTCCAGCAGGCGGCTGACTGGATCGGCCTGGAGTCTCGCAAGTCCCTGTGGGGTCAGTTCTGGTCGGCTCATCAGCGCTTCTTCAAGTATCTGTGTGTCGCTGCCAAGGTGTCCCGGCTGGTGGGGCTGGCCCGGGAGGAGCTGGCCCGGGACAAGGTGAGCCAGGAGCCACAGCACCGGCCCTGTGGGGCTGCCCAGGCACTCTGCCCTGGTCCTCTCGAGAGCTTGGCGACTGCGCCTCGACCCCTGTGCCCTCATGCGGCTGGCTGAGCCTGTGAGGACGGGCTGTGGCACTGGCGATGTCGAGGCCCGGAAGGTTCTGGTCCTGCACAACCCCACTGCCCTGAAGCAGATGCCATGCGTGGCCTTGCCTGTGTCTGTGTCCAGGCCGGCCTGGTGATTCCCTGGGAAGAACTGGGCGGGAGCCAGGGCAGAGAACAAGGGAGAGGGTCCAGGAGGGCTGAGGGCAGCTGTGCACTGCTGTATGGAGTTTCCTAGGGCAGATCTTGGTGTGCTGGGGGCCTGGCCGCTGGCAGGATGGAAACGGTGGAAAGAGAGAAACAGGCCAGATCTGGGTTTCTGACTGATGGGGGCTGGGTTTGGGAGCCTGGGGCTCCCAGAGCCCTGCTCACCTGGCTCCTCCACCCCCACCCCCCAAGTGTGTGGTCATCGGGTTGCAGTCCACGGGCGAGGCTCGGACCCGGGAGGTGCTGGACGAGAAGGATGGGCAGCTCGACTGCTTTGTCTCCGCTGCTGAGTGAGTGGCGCTCACAGCCCAAAGGGCGGGTGGTACAGTCACTCTGGGGACGACCCCCCACGCCGCCACGTGATAGCCCATGTGTTGTGACCATAGCGGCGGGAGCCCAGGTGTGCATCTGCTCGGACACCAGCCCCAGCCCCCAGACACTGTGCTCCAGTTGTAAAACCAGAAAGATTAGCCACGGGTGACCCCAGGGCTCAGAGGTGCTGGCAGAGGGACTGGGGTTTCAGTGCAAGGCTTCCAGGTGCCCATCCCCCACTGCGAGCCTGGTGCGGTTTCAGGAACTGTGCAGGTGTTTGGGTCCCCGAAGCAGCAGTTCTCTCTTCCCGGGGCTCCTGGGCCCAGCATCCCTTGGAGGTGGTCGGCCTGTGCAGGCAGAGCCCTGAGCCCTTGATGGCTGGAAGGAAGGAGCCCTACGCAGGCCCCCGCCCCACACTCAGGCCTTCCCAGTAAAACTGCGCCCCTGCAGTCTGGGGCCCTCCACCCATCTCCCCGCCCCGCGCCCCTCCCCCCCTGCATCCCCCCACCCAGTAATCCACACAGCTGCCTCCCTGCCCCGGCCTGCCCTGTCTGAACCCCAGACACTGGGCGCCAATCCCCCAGAGCTAGCCCCGGCAAGGGCTTCACGCTACTCCGACTCTCCCGTTGGACAATACGCCCCTCCTTGTAGCAGGAATAAATTCTGCTTCTTGTTTTCAGGGGTGTCTTTCTGTCGCTAATTCAGAAGCACTTTCCTTCAACCAAAAGAAAGAGAGAGAGAGGAGCAGGCAGTAAGAGAAAACGTAAGCCTCCCCGCCCCCCGGCCTCTGACCCCGACCCACGCCCAGCTTGGCCTGTGGCCCTCCCGGCCTGGCCCACTCCGAGCAGCCGCCCTCTTGGCCACTTGCTGCACAGCCTGCCGGGCGCGGGTGGTCTGACTCGTGACGCCCACCCCATCTGTCCAGAGCAGGACAGACACAGGGACAGCTCAGTGTAGCTTCTGAGAGAGAGAGAGAGATGGAGGGATGTGGGGGAGAGGGAGAGAGAGAGAGAAAAAGAGACAGAGGGAGAGAGGGAGAGGAAGCCGCACTGCGTGGCAAGGACACACAGATCCCCGCAGGGCCCAGAAGCTCCGCGCAGCTGCCAGGTTCACAAGAGACAAGAAGCCAGGGCTGCAGGCTGGCGTGCTTAGCTCGTCCTCGGGCAGCACCTCCCGGTGGGCTCCAACACCACCCTCAGACGGGTTTGGGGTGGGGGGCGTTTAAGATGCTGGTACCCAGCCCCGTGTTCCCTCAGTGGAAACCAGCCCGGCAGCTACGCTGTGCCAGACGTGTGGGCTACGACGGGGCTACGACAGGGAGGTTCTCCTTCCAGTGGAGGCTGGGCATCAGCTCCTCGTGGGACATGAGGCTCAGAGAGGGCAAGCAGCTCACCTGAGGTCACAGAGCCAGACCAGGGGGCCCCAGCTCCCCTCACCTCCAGGACCGGCCTGTGGGGCACCCTGGACTGTGGCAGTGCACAGAAGGGGCCTGGACTGCCATCCTCTTGGGCCCGGGACACGTTTTCGGGCCAGCCGGCCCAGGCTTGCCTTGTGAGGTCAGGCGTGCGGCCTCCTCAGGCCCCAGCTCAGTATAAGCTGAAGTGTCAGGAGAGGGGTTGGGATGCTAAAGCTGCCCCTTTATGCCCTGCCCGGGCCCACAGCAGGACCCTGGACAGCAGCCCAGAGCTGGCCGGATGAGAGCCTCAGGCTGCTCGTGTCCCAGCGCCTGCACCTGGCCCTGGGCAGCCCCCTTCCCGGTGTGCGGAATCGCAGGGAGCTGGGCCCCTCCAGAGAGGAGCAGGCTGGGCCTCGGTGACCCTGGTTCTCCATGTGTAGGGCGGCCGCGGGGCCGCGGGTCCAAGGTGCCCAGGCTAGCGTGCGAGGTGGCAGGCGTGATCCGCATCAGCGATGACAGCAGCACAGAGTCAGACGCCGGCCCGGACAGCGACTCCCACTCCTCCCCCGAGTCCGTGCTGGACGACGACGTGGTCATCTTGGACACTGTTGGCCTGCCAGCCGACGACCGCGGTGAGGCCCGCGGCCTGGCATTTGCCACTTTCAGATCGGGGAGACGGACTCGGAGAGCTGTCGGGGCTGCGCTGCTGGTCAGAGGCTGAGCGGGCTTGTGCCAGCCGTTTAGGGGAAAAGAGGGACCCCAGCCCCTCTTGTGCCCCACCCTCCCAGGGGCCCCTTTGTCCACTGCCGTGAGTGGGGCTATGGGTGGGGGGGCTGGCTGGTACTCCCCTGACCCTCCGGCCCCACAGGGCCTTTGTGCCCCCTGCAGCGGGACCCTCACGGCCCCGGCATCCTGGAGCGCGTGGAGCAGCTGAAGCAGGACCTGCTGGCCAAGGTGCGGGCGCTGGGCCGGGAGCTGCCCGTGAACACCCTGGATGAGCTCATCGACCAGCTCGGGGGCCCTGAGCGCGTGGCCGAGGTGAGCCCCACCTACACACAGGCTCTGAGGCCCCTGGTGGTTACCCCATGTCTGCACCCAGCGCAGTGAGGTGGGCTTGGGGCACGGGGCACCCGAGCTGCAGCATCCATCGTCCAGCCCACGAGGCTGGGGGTGCCAGTTGAGGACCCTTCTCGCTCGGCCACCGACGCCTGGCCCCTGCTCCCCAGCCCAGCTCTGTATGCCCTTCCCCACACACCCTTCTCTGCTCCTGGGCCTCTGGGGGCACTCTCAGGTCTGTCCCCCGTGTCTCCTCCCTGTCCCTTCCACCTGCACAACTGTACCCTTTCCTGGGATGTCCTGGGGTGAAACCCAGGTCTGTTTTCGCCTCAGGCATCCGTTTTACAGAGGAGACTTAAGGTGGGGTGAAACTCCCATGTCTGCCCCGTGGGCGGCTAGGGCCTGGGGCGGAGGCTGCGTCTGGCCCAGGGTCCACAGCACCCCGCAGTACACACTGAGAAGACGCGGGGCACAGGTGGGGAGGCAGGGAAACGCAGGGACCAGCCCTTGTATGGCCCCACCGGCTGACGGCCATTCTCTCTCCCCCAACCCCAGATGACTGGCAGGAAGGGCCGCGTGGTGTCCAGGCCTGACGGGACAGTGGCCTTTGAGTCTCGGGCAGAGCAAGGCCTCTCCATCGACCACGTGAACCTCAGGGAGAAGGAGCGCTTCATGAGTGGGGAGAAGGTGGGGGCTGTGGAGATGGGGCCTCCGGGCCCAGGGACCGGGCTGTGTCCACAGGTGCTCCTAGGGTCCTCCTGGTGTCAGGGGGGAACCTGTGAGGTCCTGGGGACCCCAGGAGCTGCAGGGTTCCTGAGGGGCCGACCCCAGGACCACAGAGCCCAGCAGCCTCTGCTGGGTCCGTGTGTACTGTGCACACGCGTGTGTGTGCGTGGCTGTGGGTGCGTGTGACTGTGTGTGCCTGAGCAGGGCCCCTATAGGTTTCCCTGGCTGTCCCAGCCTTCGGGCACTGTCACCTGTGCCGTCCCTGCCCCGTGGCTTCTCTGAGGCCCACTCTTAACGCCCTGTGTGGGAAAGCCGCTGTGGGCAGGGCAGGCTCCACTCGGTCCGGGGGCACCCAGGGGTGGCCCAGACCCCACTCCCAGCCCACACGGGCTGCCCCACGGGCACACACGTCAGGCCTCTGTGTGGGTCGCTCTGAACAAGCCCTGGCGGGCCAGGCAGGGGGCACAGGGCACAGACGTGTTCCGTCCACATCCCGCCAGCTTGTAGCCATCATCTCTGAGGCCTCCAGCTCCGGCATCTCCCTCCAAGCCGACCGCCGCGTCCGGAACCAGCGGCGCCGGGTGCACATGACACTGGAGCTGCCGTGGAGCGCCGACCGCGCCATCCAGCAGTTCGGTGAGCTGCCCCCTGGCTCGGCCCGCCCCACCCGGCCGCACGGCCCTGACCGCTGGCCCCTGAGAGCCCTCCTCTGTCTTCAGGCCGGACCCACAGGTCCAACCAGGTCTCTGCGCCCGAATATGTCTTCCTCATCTCGGAGCTGGCCGGGGAGCGCAGGTTTGCCTCCATCGTTGCCAAGCGGCTAGAGAGCCTGGTGAGCGGGCAGCGGGCTCCCCGAGGAAGGCCTGTAGCAGAACCCGGGGCGGGGGCGGAGGGGGCAGCTCGTGATGGTGCATGACGGCCTTCCCCGTCCCGGGCAGGGGGCTCTGACTCATGGGGACCGGCGCGCCACGGAGTCCCGTGACCTGAGCAAGTACAACTTCGAAAACAAGGTACCTGGGGAGGGGGGGGGACGGCAGAGGACGGGTCCCTTGCCCAGATCCAGCCTCCGAGCCCGGCCCTTCTGATCCCGCACTCTCCCACCCAGTACGGCACCCGGGCCCTCAGCTGCGTGCTCACCACCGTCCTGAGCCAGACTGAGAACAGGGTGCCGCTGCCCCAGGCCTACCCCGGAGGAGATGCCGCTTTTTTCCGGGGTGAGCTGCGGGAGAGCGAGGGTCTCGGGTCGGGGGCAGCTTGGCCCGGAGCTGTTTGGGGCACTGGGATTGGTAGACTAGATCTGTGCCTAAAGACTAATCCCACCCTCACTTACCAAGGGGGCGCCGGGGGCAGGGAAGATCCGGGGCTGGCTGGGGAGGGCCCGGGCGGGGGCAGGGCAGCATGCATTCTAGGTCCTGCCTTCCGCAGACATGAAGCAGGGCCTGCTGTCCGTCGGCATTGGGGGCCGTGAGTCCAGGTCCGGCTGTCTGGATGTGGAGAAGGGTGAGTCCTGTGCGCAGGCCCCCCAGCCCCAGCGGGAAGACCCCCACCCCTCCCAGGCCAGGGCCCCTCCCGACGCGGCCTGAGCGCCCTCCCCGCCTGCCCACCAGATTGTTCCATCACCAAGTTCCTGAACCGCATTCTGGGGCTGGAGGTGCACAAGCAGAACGCGCTCTTCCAGTACTTCTCGGACACCTTCGACCGCCTCATCGAGACGGACAAGAAGGAGGGCAAATACGACATGGGCATCCTGGGTGAGGGCCACAGCGGGGACAGCGTCTCTCCCCGGCCAGGCAGAGCAGGGAATGGCCCCGGCAGTCCCTGGCACCCCCTAGCACCATGCCCCTGCCATCCCACGGAGAGACCGAGGCCGGCCGGGGCCGTCGCACTGGCAGCATGCCACCGGGGGGCCTTGGAGGAGCAAGACTGGAAGCGGCGTGGAGAGTCCAGGGAGAGGAGGCGCCGAGCGCTGTCCCGTATTTGGGGGGCCACAGGACCCCCTTCCCGGGTATCCTGCAAGGATTGGAGCGTTTTATTTAGATGTGAGGCATGTGTTGGCGTGCTTAGTGTGATGGTGGTAAGCCGGACACACGTGCTGTCATACCCCCCCGGGCCAGGCCCTCACCGAGAACAATGGGCCCGTCTCTGACGTTCCACATGGCCCTGGTGTTGAAAGCACATGCTCTTGGAACGTGAATGGCCGTGGCCGTGTGCCGATAAACTTCCATAAACTCAGTGGCAGGTACAGTTTGTAGACTTACATCAGCCGTCCCCCAGCAGCCACGCAGAGCGGACTGTGTGGGGCCTGTAGTCCCACTGAGCGTGAGTGTCCAGCAGGACCCCAGGCCACTGGAGGGGCCACTTGCTGTCCAGGGTGCCATGTAGGGTCAGGCCCAGGCCGTCTGTACTGGGGGAACCTCTGCTGTGCTCTGGCGGGCATCTCTGGGGTACCCCAGAACTTGGGACTGACAGTCCCCTAAAGCCCAGAGCCCAGAGCCTGCCCAGCCACACAGGGCCTCAGGCCATGCTGGGATCCTTGGGGCAGGGACCCCCCCGGGGTGGGGGGGGCAGGCGGGAGGGTCTCAGCCCACTGTCCTTTCCATGCTCTCTCTGCAGACCTGGCTCCGGGCATCGACGAGATCTATGAGGAGAGCCAGCAGGTTTTCCTGGCCCCCGGACACCCACAGGACGGGCAGGTGGTCTTCTACAAGGTGAGGGCACCCAGAGCCACCCAGCACTGGGTGTTCAGTCCCCACCGCGGCTGCTCCGCCGCTCTGAGCCCATCTGCTCTTGCAGATCAGCGTGGACCGTGGCCTCAAGTGGGACGAGGTTTATGCCAGGTCATTGGAGCTGACGGGCACCCATGACGGCTTCTACCTCTCGAAGGTGGGCGTTTGGGTGGCACACGGGTCCCCAGGGGCAGGACCCCAGCGGAGGGGGGCGATGGGGGGGGGCGGGCAGAGCGCAGCCTCACGCGCCCACCTGCCCAGGTTCGAGGCAAGCCGAGCTGCCTCCTGGCCGAGCAGAACCGCGGGAAGCACTTCACGGTGTACAAGCCCAATGTGGGTCGGCAGAGCCAGCTGGAGACGTACGACAGCCTGTGCCGGAAGTTCCGCAGGGTACGCAAGGGCCGAGGGGCTGGGGTGCAGGCCAGGGCGCCCTTGCATTGGGGGGGGTGCCCTGCACTGGGGGGGTGCCCTGCACTGGGGGGCACGCAGCCGGCCGGCACGTGCTCGGGGCTCACGAGGCCTCGGGGCTCACGAGGCCGCGGGTCCCCAGGTGACGGCGGAGGAGGCCAGGGAGCACTGGGAGAACAGCTACGCCTTCTCGCTGACGCACTGCAGCCACGCGGCGTGGTGAGGGCCGGGGCGGGACCGGGCCGGAGGCCCCCTCTACCGGGCAGCCATACGCTGAGGCGGGGGCGGTGGGGACGGGACCCCCAGGGCGGCGCGGGGAGGGGGGGGGGTGCGCGGTAGCGCTCTGGGTCTGAGCCCGCCCCCGCCCCCGCCCCCCGCGGCGCAGGAACCGCCCCTGCCGCCTGGTGCAGGAGGGCAAGGACTGCACGCAGGGCCTGCGGCTGCGCCACCACTACATGCTGTGCGGGGCCCTGCTACGCGTATGGGGCCGCATCGCCGCCGTCATGGCCGACGTCACCAGCAGCAGCTACCTGCAGATAGTGCGCCTCAAGACCAAGGACAAGAAGAAGCAAGTCGGTGAGCGCGCGGGCACGCCGACGGGGGCGGGGGCGGGGGGTGCCGCCTCGGGCGCGCTGACCCTCCGTCCCCCCCCCAACCGCCCCCCCCCCCCCCCCCCGGCATCAAGATCCCCGAGGGCTGCGTGCGCCGCGTGCTGCAGGAGCTGCAGCTCATGGACGCGGACGTGAAGCGCAAGAACGCGCGCGGCCGGGGCTTCCCCGCGCCGCTGCCAGCCCTGCGCCCGCTCGCGCTGCCCTGCGGCCCGGGCGAGGTCCTGGACCTCACCTACAGCCCGCCGGCACAGGCCTTCCCGCCGCCCTCACCCTTTGCCTTCCCGCCCCCGCCTCCGCCCCCGGACCCCGCGCCAGCCCCCGGGGGCCTTCCGCTGGGCGCCCCGGACACCGCGGCGGATCCCGCGGCCCTGGCGCACCAGGGCCGCGACATCAACTTCAAGGAGGTGTTGGAAGACATGCTGCGCTCCCTCAACGCCGGGCCGCCCACCGGTCCCTCCGGGCCGGGCGCAGGGGCCGCAGGGGCGCCTGGGGGGGCCGGGGGCCCTGAGCGGCAGAGCGTCATCCAGTTCGGCCCCCCCTTTCCAAACTCCTAGACCCAATAGGCGACCGGCAGCCGGTGTCCGAGAAGAAGCTTGCTTCTCTGCAATATTCAACGGCGGCCACAGGGACTCCGTCTGGTCTCCCGCCCACGTGGGTGGTGCGCGGGGGCCGGGCTCCCCTGCTGACTGCCAGGAAGGTGGGGGCTGCGGTGCCCCCCATCCGGTTCCGGAGGTCTCCACAGCAGTGCCTTCCCTGCGGGCGGTTGGGCGGACCCCTCCCGATGCTGCCCGCCCTTCCGGGCTCTCCGAGGCAGTGCAGATCCTACTCAGGATGACTCGGGGTCTGGACTCGGAGTCTAGGCTCGGGCAGGGCCCAGGGGTGGGGGCCCACCCTCCCTCTGCCTCTGTCCCCCCCCCCCCACCAGGCCTAGGCAGGGGCTCCCCAACCCACCTCACCCCACCCACCTTACAGGGCCTGGTCTGACCGGAACCCCTGGAATCCACAAAACTGGGTGGCCCCAAGAGCTGGAAACTCAGGAAACCCCAGGTGCTCAGGGCCCTGCCTTCTCTGGGGGGCTCCATGGGACAGGCCCCCCCCTATTAATATATGCAATTCTTCCCCACTCTCTTTGCTCCCTAAATTATTGCCCGGCCACCTCTCCCAGGCCCCAGAATCTGCCGTGGAGCTGGCGGTGTGGACGGGCCCCTTGGTTTCTATGTGTATTTATAATGAATTCAAGTGTACATATGTAAAGAGATCTTTTTTAAATATATGTGCCTTTTCACTATTTCCCAGATTGTCTGCTTCTCCAGCCTGCAGAGACCGTGGCCCCGGCGGTGGGGGGGGTTCAGGGGAGGCTGCAGGTGTCTTCCAGGAGCATTTAGCGGATGCCAGTAGTGACCCCGTTCAGGGGCGGTGGAGGTGGCTGTCGCCTGTGGAGGGGACCCAGGGTGGGTGAGACCAGCCCACTCCTCTCCCACACCCATGTGAGGCTAGGGCCCAGCTGGAAGACGGGTCCCCACCCGAAGAGCCCATTGTCTGCTGTCACTGTCACTGGCAGGGCAGGCCGGCTACTTCCAGACTAGCCGCGCCAGGCTTACGGTGTCTTGGTTGGGACGCTGGTCGCCTCCTGTGTGCTAGAGACACAAACCCCACCGGGGACCCTCATGGTGCTGCTCTGAGACCAGATTCTCTGATCACTGGTGTCCACAGCTGTAGCCCCTGCTTTGGTTTTCTTCCCAGGGTTGTCTCGGGGGAGTTGGAGTAGCCCCGGAGCAGGAAGCCACAGGAAGCACATGTGGGTCTGGCCCTGAAGTTCAAAGGATAGGTCTCCAGCCGGAATGTGGGCAAGTGAGCAGCCAGGAGACCCCAGGGGAAGCAGCTCAGGGTGGCTGGGGCTTTCCTCCACCTCGTTATTCCAGTACTCCAGCCCCTTCCTCTGCCACTGACCTTTACCGGAGGTAGTGGAAAAGGGGGTGGGGGCAGTCTCAGCCACTCTCCAGCCGTGCCATTCCCCCCAAAACAGGGACAGGTATCTATCCGAAGAGCCCTCTTAGCCCCAGGCCATCCCTCACCCCTCCTGGGGCAGAAGGCTGGAGACGATGCCCCCTCTGTCAGGGCCACATGAGGCCCTGAGGGCGGGCCTGGGTGCCCTGGCTGTGTCCAACAATGAAGCCACTGTGCCCGGCGTGGCTCTGTGCCCGGACCAGCTTGGCCTCATGCTCGGCTCCAGGTACCTGGCTTCCCAGTGGGCAGAGCCACAAGGCCCAGGCCCTGCTGACCCTTCCCCTCTAGGCCCTGGGAAGACTGGCCCCAAGCATGGCTCTAACAGCTGTCACCTAACAGGTTAACACCCTGGATCAGGAGTAACAGCCGTAATTCCTATTACCTCCTGCCGGATCAGCTCTGCCGGCGCTCGCTCGGTGGGCGGGCCGCTCAGATTAGCACCGGGCAGTCCACAGAGCCCACAGTACCCAGGAACTCTGAGGCCAGGACTTGCCCCTGAACCAGAAGGGGCCAGGGCAAAAGGCTCCCCTCCCACCCTTCACCCCCTGCAGGAAGGCAGGAGCACACAGCAAGCCAATGTGGATGTTTTATTCCCACAAGATAACCAGGGGGTTGGGGGGGGGCGCCAAGCCTCGAGCCGGGCCGAGGAACCTTCCTCCGGCGAGGGGTGCACGCCGGGTTCTCGGGTCTGCCCCACCAGCGGGCTGGTTTTCAGGCAGACCGTCATGGGTGCCGGGTGGAAGGCTCCGAGGGGCAGGGCTGTGGGGGGGCGCATACTTGTGGAGCTAGAGGTAGCACGGCAAGTCTTTCTCGATTACCTGTGGGGGCAAAGAGGGGTCAGGAGTGGCCTCTCCCTTGGCCCCCACCCCCACCGGGCTCAGCAGAAAGGCACCTACCAGGGGCTCTTCCATGGGACCATACCGCTTCACCACACAGCCGTTCTTGTCAATGAGGAACTGCCCAGAGAGGCCGTGTCACTGCCGGGCAGCAGCCGGCCGGGGCGGTGGGGGGTGCTGCTGCCCGGCGCAATGGAGGCAAGCAAGCAGCCCCCCACCTGCCGTGCGCTGGGGCCAGGGCCCTGAGCTGCAGCTGAGTAGGCAGGGGCCCCGGGGACAGGAGCTGGCCCTGGACACAGTCCTGGCCTCCCACCCCCACCTCCCAGCCCCTTACCTTGGTGAAATTCCATTTGATGGCACTAGGGAAGCAAAGGGAAGTCGTGAGGAATCCGGTGGCAAATGCGACAGGCCCGCCAGGCACCCCCACCCCGCCCCCCCAACCCCAGCCCCGACGCTCCTCTCCCCTCCCCCAGCCTCCCACTCACTTTCCCAGCATGCCCCGCCCCTTGGGCTGGACTTTCATCCACTTCCACAGCGGGTGAGCGTCGTCCCCGTTCACACAGATCTTGCTGAACATATCGAACTTGACATTATAGCCGGCAGCGAACTCTTTGATCTCCGCGTTACTCCCTGGCTCCTGTGGCGAGCAGGGCCGTGGGGGTGAGCGAGGAGCAGCCCGTGCTCCCGCCGGCCCCCTCCCACACACCGGGACACGGGGCTGGCGCCAGCCACGCACCTGCCTCCCGAACTGGTTGCAAGGGAAGGCCAGGATCCGTAAACCGGACTCAGCGTATCGGGCGTGCAGGTCGACAAGCTGAGTATAGTTTACGTCTGTTTTGCCTCATTGCGAGGCCACGTTGGTGACGATGCACACGAAGCCCCTGGAGGCGAGAGGGGGGCAGTCAGGCCAGCTTGGCGCCGCCAGCCTTTCCCCCAACTCTCCCACGGGGCGCTCAGGGACCCACCGGTACTTGTCCAGGTTAACCGTGCGTCCGTCGATGTCCTTGGCGGAGAACTCATGCATAGACTGAGCACAGCGCCAGTCGTCTCGGGACGCGCACTGCAAGGCAAGGAAAGCGCATGAGCGGTGCGGGGACCTCGGGGCGCACAGCCCAGAGCCCCCTGCCACCTGGCCCACTCGCCGGCCGGGGGTGCCCGGAGGAAGGGCTCCCAGGCGGATCCGCGACGAGAAAACCCAGGCCCTGTGGCAAGGAAAAACCGAGGACTCCTCCTCTGCAAGGGCGCATGCCCTTTGCGCAGCAGAGCACACTGGAGAGAAGCCGCTGGGGCCCAGAGAGGGCTTGGGCCCGCGCCAGGTGCCTGGCGGCCGGGGTGGGGGACCCGCGCGCACCGGCTCTGGCCACTCCACACTACAGCCGCTATCCCAGGTCTCGAGCTCCGCCTGCCCCGGGCGCTCCAGACGGGACTCCTCCCGCCGGGGGCGCGCCCTCCTGCGTCCGCCAGCCCTAGCCTTCCGCCGCCGGGGGACTCGGCGCTGCCGTCGCTGCTGCCGCCGCCTGCCGGGCAACCGGCGGCGCTGCCCGCGGCGACCCGGGGACCTGGCGGCCGCGCGGCCCATATCCGGCCGCGCCTGTGCCCAGAGGCCCGCGCCGGGGCACAAAAAGGCCGGTAACCAGGGCGCCCGGCCGCCCGTCTGTGACGCCACCAAGCAGGCCCCGAGGCCGCGCCGGGTGGGGGAGGGGCGGGTCGCCCCGCGGCGCGTGACCCGGGCCTTCCAGCCCACCGGGCGCCCTCCGCTCGCCGGGCCCCGGCCGGGGACGCCAGCGGCCGAGGGCGCCCGGCCCCCAACCCCCCCGCGGCCTCGACGCCGCCGGCCTCGCGCGCCCCGCAGGCGCCCAACGGGGGTCCCGGCCGCCCAAGCCCTGATCCCGAACGGCCACCGCCCGAGCCCGCCGCGGCCCCGCGCGTCCGCCCAACGGCCCCTCGGCCCGCCGCCGGCACCGCGCTCACCATGGTGCTGGCCAGACCGGACGCGGCTAGAGTCCCGCACAGCAGCGCCGGCTTCACCAAGCGGCACAGGCGGCTGAGGTTCATCGCGGCGGCGGGGGCGCCGAAGGCAGCGGCTCCTCCCCTCGCCGAGCCCACCAATGGACGCGCGCCTGCCGGCCCCGCCTCCCCGCCCTGGGCCACGCCCATCGGGGCCCTCATTGGTCGAACGCGCGGGCAGGGCGGATCCGTGGTGATGAAAGCCAATGGGAGGCCGGGGAGGAGGGGCGGGCGGGGTCGCGGCTGGGGCCGGGCTGCGGCTCCGCGGCCGTGGGCGACTGCGCATGCTCGCCGGCGTGGGGGCGGTGGGGTCCACGCGGGGGGCGCGTCGGTGTGTTTGGGAGGGTTATCCGGGTGGTTGACCGCAGCGCCGCGGGATGCCTGACAGCTGGAGATATTACTGGAAGCCCGAGGTTGGGGTGGGCTCGGGCTCGCAGAAAAACCGCTCCAGCTCTTTGGACACTGGAGGCTTTCCTTAAAAAGTTAATAAAGTCACGCGGGGTCGGACTCCGGTGTCGCCGCGGGAGCGCCTCGCTCGGCCCGTGGCCCGGAGAAGGCCGGCGGCCGCCCAGCGGGAGCGCCCGCCGTTAGAAGGGGCACATGAGCCGGGGGCCACTCACCAGGTGACCGTTAGCGGGCCCGGCGGCCGCGAGGATGCGCCGGTGTGCGCGGGGCGGGCGCGCGCGGGCGGGCGGACGGACACACGCCGGAGGGAGGTTTCTGCGCCCCACGGTGCACGGCCGTCGGCGCACAGAGCGGCAGGGCTCGACATCTGCGCTTCTGACTTCTTGTTTTCTCCCCAGGTTCTGGCGTCTGGCCAGGGCGGTGCCATAAACAGACCCGCCCGCTCTTGGGAACCGAGTCAAGGAATTCCTCAGCGGGCCCTCGTGCCCCACGCTCCGCCAAGAGTGCACTTTGACCCATGGCTGCAGAGGCCGCGGGGGCGGACTCTCTGGGTTTGGCTCACTTGAAGCCAGTGACACCCCCTTCTCTGCCTCCCACCCAGGCCTGCCCAAGTGCCGGCCAAGTTGCGGGGTGAAGGCAGCGGAATGGGGAAATACATTCCAGGGTCCGCTTCCCCATTCCTTGTCTTGCACAACCCTCCCGCCAGGGCTTCCTACTCCCCCACCCCAGACGCCCACTTCCAGCCTTCCTGGAACGATAGGATGGGTGGCATGGCAGCACTGGTCTGAATCACTGGAACTATGCTCAGGCCTTGCCAGGTTCTCTGGGGTCCCGGGGCCCACCTGCTCTCATGAGCCCTTTCTCCTCTCTCCCCCTAATGTCCACAGCCCCGTTGCTGTCTCCGCCTGCCACACATACCTGGGCCCTCTTGGGGGACCATCCAGGCCAGCCCTCCTTGGGCCCAACCTCCCCCTGGGATCCAGGTTCCAACAATCCTGCCTGGTCCTCTTACTCAGATTTGCCCATCATTCCAAGAACCTAGACAGGTGCCATATCTCCCATCTTAAAATCTGTTCCTAGCCCTCCCCCTCTCCACCTTCAGTCCCCTCTCTTCTTGGCATCTATGTCCACATCTCCAACTCCTTTCCTCCCACAAATCCTACCCTGCCCCAGGGTCGCCAATCATGTCTGCTTGGGTAACACCCCACCTGATCTGCAGGTCTGTTCAGACTCGCCATTTGGTCATGTTGACCCCTCCCCCATCCTCCAGACAGCTTCTCCACCCGCCGGAGGGCACCTGGCAACCTCTTGCTGGTCTTTATTCCACTTAGGAGCGTTCACGTAACACTGCTGGCAGCTGGTGCCACAGTCATTAGGCAGGTCCCCTGGGAAGTGGGTGCTGCGCTTGTCCCTGTCCCACAAGGTAGGGGGAAGGGAGGCATTTAGGCACAAAAAAGGTTAAGTAATGGGCCTTGGTTCCCATGGCCACCATCGGCCACTGCTTCGGGATCCGCGTCCTCCCTCCTCTTGGTCTCTGAATCTGGCAAGGGTTCGGATCTGTTTGGTGGCCCCATGCGGACTCCAGTCTCCAGTGACTCCCACGTGTCTGTCTCCCTTTGGACTTTGCCCCGGATTTCAGACTCATCCCGCTGTCTCCTCCACATTTCTCCTTGGGTTGACAGGAAACTCTTTCTCTCTCTCATTTTTTTTTTTTTTTTAAGATTTTGTTTATTTGACAGAGCGAGATCACAAGCAGGGGGAGAGGCAGAGGAGGAAGGAGGCTCCCCACTGAGCAGGGAACCCGATGCGGGACTCAGTCCCAGCCCCTGGGATCATGACCTGAGCCCAAGACAGACACTTAACCATCTGAGCCTCCCAGACGGCCTTTTTCCAGTTTTAATTTATTTTTAAAGTAATCTCTATACCCAGTGTGGGGTTGGAACCCATGCTCCGTCGACTGAGCCAGACAGGTGCTCTTGGAGCCCCATTCTTTTCTTATTTAAAAAAATCATGTATTGGGGCGCCTGGGTGGCTCAGTGGGTTAAAGCCTCTGCCTTTGGCTCGGGTCATGATCCCAGGGTCCTGGGATCGAGCCCTACATCGGGCTCTCTGCTCAGCAGGGAGCCTGCTTCCCTTCCTCTCTCTCTCTGCCTGCCTCTTTGCCTGCTTGTGATCTCTGCCTGTCAAATAAATAAAATCTTAAAAATTTTTTTAAAAATAATCACGTATTAGGGAGAGTGCATGAATGCGTGGGGGGAGGGGCAGAGAGAGGGGGAAAGAGAAAATCCCAGGTAGACTCCCGCTGAGCCTGGAGCCCAACCCGGGGCTCAGTCCCATGGTCCTGAGACCATGACTCTGGCCTAAATCAAGAGGTAGAAACCCAACCAACTGAGCCACCCAGGCCCCCTCTGGAGCCCCTTATCTGCCGTCAACACCTGTTTCTCCCTGGTCTGTCTGTCCTGATTCCAGCAGCTCTGATCCTCCTCCCTCTCCATCTGTCTCTTCTCCACACCCTGTCCATCTGCAGATCCTGTGAGGTCCACCTTCTGAACACCAGGAACCTGCCCATTGCTCACCCCTACCCCAGTTGGAGCCCCCATCTGTGGCCAAGTGGCCCTCCCTTTTCCCCTCCCTAGTCTCTCTGGTGAAATGTTGACAGTGGTTGAAAAAGAAAACCCAAGCTTCTCAACCCTACCAACAAGGCCTCCCAGGGTTTGCCCCACTACACCCTCTAACCTCCTTTCTTCCCCCTCCCCCACTGGGCCTCCTAACTGCCAACACACCAGGCAAAGTGCAACCTCAGGGCCTTTGCACACACTACCCTCTGGCCGATACACCTCTTCAGACATTCCCACAGCCTCCTCCCTCTCCTTTGGCCTTTTGCTGGAATCTCTCTTGCTGCTCGCCTTCCCTGCCTTCCCGGTTGGAAACTGGGGATCTCCCATCTGGCTCAGCTCCCGTCTTCCATTGCACTGTCATGTTCTAAACGTTATTGTTGTGCTCGCGGTTTCTGTTGGGTCTTCCCGGAATGGAAGGGGGCCTTGGCCTGTTTAGTTCACCGTCTCTGGGAATGCATCGCTGAATGAGAAGTTCCTGACGGCCTCCGGTGGGGCGAGCGCTGAGCGGGGAGAAAGGCGGATGCGCAGTCGGGGTTGGGGCTGTGGGATATGCAGGTAGAGGTCTGCCGGGTCTCAGGGGATAGGACGTGGAGGAGACGGAGGTGGGAGCACTTCCTGAGCCCGAGGGCTGTGCCAGGCTCCGTCCTTTAGATTCTCAGCTAAGCCTCTGAGACGGGGACACTTTGTTTCCACTATACAGAAGGGGAAACTGAAGCTTAGGGGCATTCAGTTGGACGTGGCCCACAGCAGTTGGATGCAGATTTACGGAGGGCCTGCGAGGTCGCCCGGCCGTCTCTGGGAGGGAGGCGGGCAGGCCGCGGATCCCGCCCGGGCCTCAGTTTTCCCGCCCGCACCTCGCCTCGCCTCGGCCTCTCCCGAGTCTAAATTCCGTCCCAAGACGGGCGCTGAGCGGAAACCACAACTCCCGAGAGGCCCCGCGGCCCATGCCACGCAAGAACTGCGGAGGCGCGAATGGGCCCTTCCATCCGCTCGGCTCTCGCGCGGCCAACCGTCGCTCGCGGAAGGCCCGGGCTGCCCTCAGGGCTGCCGTTCTCGAAGGTCTCTGGAGTCAGGCGTTCGCCGTCGACAGCCCTGCGTGGGGCCGGGGACGGGGTTTGGCGCAGGCGCAGTCCGTGCGGGTCCTGCCGCGGGCGCGGGCGCAGGCGCGTTGACTGAGAGCGGCGGCGGCTATGGACGACGAGGAGGAGACGTACCGGCTGTGGAAGATCCGCAAGACCATCATGCAGGTGCGCCCGCGTGGCTAAGGCGGTGAGGGTGGGCCGGGCACGCGGCGGCTCGGCGGGGCGGCCGGAGCGGAGGGGTCGGGGTGGGGGCCCCGCGGGCTTGCGACCGGCCCCAGGGAGGGTCGCGGGCGGGCGGGAGAGAGGGGGTGGCCGACCCGTTCTTCCGCTCGGCGGTGCTCCCGGGGGGCTTTGACGCTTCTGCGCGTGCCTGACGCGGAGCCCCGGGGCCGGAGCCGTGGGAGGCGCCCTGCGGGTCAGCCGGCCGACCTGCCGTCCGGGGAGGGCTGCTTGTCGGCCTAGGTCGCCCGTTCCGAGGGACTCGCGCTAACCAGGACACCCGCCGCGCGCCACGCGGTCCGGCCGCCCGTGGGAGGGGACTCCGAATCCCTGCGGGGCGAAGCCCGGGCCGCCGCCCGCCGCGGCTCCTTTCCGCTCTGCGCCGCGGCTCTGGAAGGGGCGCCGGGACAGCTGTGCCTGCGGCTGAGCGCGCCCTGGGGGCCCTGCGCCCAGAATCAGGCCGGGGTCTCCTGGGGGAAGGGGGGTGGGCGCGGGGCTGACCGGCCGCTCTGGCCCCGCGTTTCTCCGTCTGGGTCCTCTTCGGTCTGCCCGCCCACGGAGCCCTGACTTCTGAGCACTGCTCGGCCTGTGTCCGGGTTCCCAGCCAGAGTCCACCCTGGCCTGCCCGGCAGTGCCCCTCCGGCCCCGCTGCCTCCATGTGCCCCAGCCCCCCGGGCCACAACTCTGCCCCTGCTTCTTGGTCCCAGCCTGTCCCCGAGGCTCAGTATAAGATGACGGATTGTGTGTGGCGGCTGGCTCTGTGCAGGAGCTCTCTTGGGGTGCGTCCTGGTCTTTGTCCCCACTTGCTCCTTCCTCTCTGACCTATGCTTGCACCTGCCGCATCAGGCCCCCAAAACCCGTGTCATTCCTGCAGCGGCCTCATCCGACCCGAGCTCTTCCGCCATCCCTTCTCTGCCCTGAGCTCACTGGCTAGTTCTTTCTGCAGCTGTGTCATGACCGTGGCTACCTGGTGACCCAGGATGAGCTGGACCAGACCCTGGAAGAGTTCAAGGCCCAGTTTGGGGACAAGCCGAGTGAGGGGCGGCCACGGCGCACAGACCTCACGGTGCTGGTGGCGCACAACGATGACCCCACTGACCAGATGTTCGTGTTCTTCCCAGGTGAGGCCTTTGCTGGTCCCGGGTGGCTGTGTGTCTCCTCGGGGTCGCAGCTCTAGTAGAGCCATCCAAGGGTCTTCTCAAGGGTCAGCTCATGGCAGCTACCTGCTGGGTGACCCCACATCTATGTTGACCCTTTTCTGTGCCAGTCGGAAGGAACTGCTCCTCTCCGCTGTGGACACCACTGAGTTCTGACTTGTTTGAGCACTTTTTCAGTTCCCTGCTGTTTCTCTCTTGATGGTTTTCTCTGTCCAGCAGGATTATCGCAGGCCTCCCCCGTGGGCCCCCAGACTCACCTGTATCCTCTGACCCCACCCGACAGCCCGCCTGCCACTCTCTATGCTTCCCGTTCCCCGCAGCTCCTTCCCATGCTGCTGCAGGGTTCTGCCCTCACCACACCCTTTTCTGCTTGGTCTGTCTACTCAGTGTCCATCTGTCGTCCTTGGAGGCCCGAGTTCAGAAGCCTCCCCTTCCAGGAGCCCCTCTAAGCCCCGGGTCGAGCGAAGAGCCCACCATGGGCTGTCCCAGGACCCCTGTGCTCCTCTGTCGTGGCCCCTGCTGCAGCGAGGCAGCCTGACTGTAAAGCCCACAGAGGCTGGGAGGCCGTGTTGTGTAGGGAGCACGTGGGGGCCCGGTCCCCGCCTGGCATCAAGGGGGTAGAAAACGTTTGCAGGACGGACCCAGCCGGTGCTTTTACAAAAGGGGCCCCGGTGTGTGAGGTGTATTTCCTGGAAGCCTTGGCGCCTAGTCAGGTGCCTCCCCGTGGAGCAGTCTCAACCTCCTCACAGTCGGCCTGGGGGCAGGGCCCTCCCTGGAGTTAGACGGGGTGGCTGTCGTGTTCACATGGGCCCCAGGCCGGGACTGGGTTCCCTGCTGTGTTAGTCCACCCGCACTGTCAAAGCAGAGCTTCTTGGACTGGCGGCTTCGATGTCCCACTCATCCCCATCCCTGCTGGAGGCGGGACGTCCGAGACCAGGGTGTCCCCAGAGCTGGGTCCTTCTGAGTCCTCTCTCCCTGGCACATAGGCCTTCGTCTCTGTGTCATCGTGGGGTCGTCCCTCTGCATCCCTGTGTCCTCACGTCATCTTAGAAGGCCGCTGGTCTTGTCCAGTTAAGCCCTACTCTAACGACCTCGTTCAGATAAAACCGTCTGTTTAAAGATTTTGTTTCCAAGTATGGTGGGATTTGGGGGGGCACAACTCAGCCCCTGACGCTTCCCGTCAGGTGAGTGAGGGTCTGAGGCGACGGGCTGCACGGGAAGGCCCAGCTGGGAGCCTCACGCATATGGCAGCCAGTAGCTGATCTGCTGGGCTCAGAGGGACCAGTGGGTCTGGCCTCGCAGGGATGGGACTGTCAGCGCCCAGGTCAGCTGACTGCACGTCCCTCCTGAACACAGCCACCGTGCCGCCTAGACCGGGCGAACTGCTTCGTGGGGGCATTTCGCAAGCCTTGGAACCACTGAGGCACTGGACCAAGTGGGTTTCTGGATCCTCGTCCCAGAGAGGACCCTTTAGGTGGGAGGATGCGGGGTACCTTTCAGCTCCCCAGGAGATGTGGAGGCGAACCAGCACCCCAGTTCCCGTTGGGCTCATGGAGACACTGAGGCCCCGGGGGGGAAGAGCCTGTTCCCGAGCTGCACTGGGACGCCTTGGTGAGGCAGAGCTAGGACGCAGGCCCCCCAGAAGAGGCGTCCTTGCAGTGCAGGCGGCCGCGTGTTCTGTCCCCAGAGGAGCCTAAGGTGGGAATCAAGACCATCAAGGTGTACTGCCAGCGGATGCAGGAGGAGAACATCACGCGGGCCCTCATCGTGGTGCAGCAGGGCATGACCCCATCCGCCAAGCAGGTGGGTGTGCGCCTGGTCTCCCTCCCCCAGGGCCGAGCCCGTGCACCTCACGTCCCCCTCCCAGGGCCCCGCTGGCAGGCGGCACCGTGTGCTCATGGGGCCTCGGGAGCTTGGGCTCTGAGAAGGAGCAGCTGTCCCATGCGGGCCTCCCAGAGCAGCCCCCGAGTTGTCCCGGCCAACACCCGCTGAGGCGAGAAGCTGGAATGGGCAGGCCGCCCGTGTAGGGGCCCGCGTCCCTGCATGGGGGCTGGACAGGTCTGAGCGGGTGCTAGTGTGGGATGGCGGGCCGGCCGGCGGCCTGTCCCTGTGCGGAGTCCCCGCGGTCCTGTCAGCGCAGGGACGGCCGGGGGGGCATTTTGTCAGACGTCACTGCGAAGCCGGGCTGAGGCCCGGGAAATGTGTCGGAGTCGGTGGGCTCTTCCTCCTGGATAAACCCCGCTGACAGGTGGGGTTTCCGGATTCGTGACGTGGGGCGCTTTTCAGAGGTGTGCAAGTGAACCCCCTCTGGCCGGCCGCCTGCTGTCAGCCTCTGGGGAGGAAGTGGGGTGGCGTGGTCTCGCCCTCGGCTGTGTGTGAGGCTCCGTGTGTCTCGCAGTCTCTGGTGGACATGGCCCCCAAGTACGTCCTGGAGCAGTTTCTGCAGCAGGAGCTGCTCATCAACATCACGGAGCACGAGGTGGGGGCAGAGACGGGGCCCGCTAGGGTGTGGAGGGTGACGGGGCCGCGTCCCGGCGAAGGTCTGCAGGAGGGAGTAGAGCAGGGTCTCTGGGTGTGGCCCTAGGCGGGAAGCACACCCAGGAACCTGCCAGGAGTCAGGAAGCTGGGGGCTGGAATCTGCTGCCCCAAGGGTCCCCAGATGGTGCCCCCGGCCTGTCTGCCTGAGCTGCTCTAGTCCCCCGTCCGCGTGTGGAGTCGGGAGCGGGGGGGACAGCAGTCGGGACCTCCAAGACGTCCCCGAACGCCCCGGGTGGATGTTCGTGGCGAGGCAATAGCCCGTGGCGCGCGGTGCTCCCCCGTGCTGTGCGGAGGCACAGCGGGGTCTCAGCCCCACGGAGACTCCGTTTCTCCTCCCGGCAGCTGGTCCCAGAGCATGTCGTCATGACCAAGGAGGAGGTGACGGAGCTCCTGGCCCGGTAGTATCCTTTCGGCCCCCGTCTGGGCCCTTCTCCCTTCCCGCCTGCACGTCCCCCCCAGCCCCTGCCCCCAGCCAGTGGAGCCCGGCTTTTTCCCTGACCCGAGCTTCTCAGTAAACTCCGGGAGAACCAGCTGCCCAGGATCCAGGCCGGAGACCCGGTGGCCCGCTACTTCGGGATAAAGCGAGGGCAGGTGAGCAGTGCTGCGCTCGGCCCCTCTAGACTGAGCCAGCGCATCCAGCCACGCCGGCTCTCCGCCAGCCCGGGGCCCCTGTGCGGCCCCCCGCAGCCCCACCTTCCCGCCTTCCATGTGCGCAGGTGGTGAAGGTGATCCGGCCCAGCGAGACCGCCGGCCGGTACATCACCTACCGGCTGGTGCAGTAGCCGCCCCTCGAGCCAGTGAGACGCGCCGTGGGCCCGCGGGGCCTGCCTGTCCGGGAGTGAGCCCCAGCTTTCCTCTCCCCTTAGTCCACAGTCGTCTCTATCACCTCCCTGTGGGGGGGGTTGTGGAGGCAGCCCCACTTCCCGCTCGGCCGGGCTCACCTCGCACAGCAGGCCTGACACGTGGTCGTCCGCCCGTCTCTCTCCCACCCTGTGGCCTGGAGACAGATGGGGCTGTGCGCCCGCACCACGAGGAACCTCACCGCTGCTTCTCCGGACCCTGGGGTGACCCCGCCTGGGTGCTGAGCCTCACCCTGGACCCCGCATGAGCGAGCCTCCAGAGGGGACAGGATGCCACAGGGAGGTCCGCAGCAGCTAGTGACCTGCCGCCGTCCTGGCTCAAGTGTCCAGCCGGCCCCCAGCAAGGCGGCCTGGCCGTCTGTCCACGGAGCGGCGGGGGATCAGCTGCTCTGATGCTGGGTGTTTGTAAGAGGGAAAATATTGGAGTAAATAAATTGGCCGGTCTGGAGGAGCAAGGCGGGTGACAGGTGTGCTGTGAGTGGCCTTGCTCGAGGCCCTGGACCCTGGGCCCGTCCCCGTGTTCCGCGGGGCCTGCTGCCCCTCCCCCCATGGGGGCCGCGTCCAGGCGGGTCCCGGTCCGGAGTCTGCAGTGGGGGCGGGCAGCGGGGGGGCTTGCTCTCTGCGTCCTTCCCGCGTTTTCTTGCGTGGAAGTGTGTGGTCAGGTTACCGGTCTCCGCGTTAGCGATTCCACGCGGGAGGCCTTCCTGGTCTGGGCAGAAGGTCGGCTCTTCTTGTCTTTCGGCCGGCTTTACCGAGCTCTGGTTTACGTGTCACAGTGGACGTGTTGCAGGACGCCCCTCGGTGGCTTTCAGGTGCCGTCAGTTTTAGAACTCGTCGCCCCGAAGCAGTCCGTCCCCATCAGCTGCCAGTCCCCGCCCCCCCAGCACCGTCCCGTTCGCGGAGGAGCCTGGGCTGGGCGTGGCACACGTGTGGACTCAGCCTGCGTGCCCTTCTGTGTCTGGCTCCCTCCCTGAGTGTCTGGGCTCGGGGTCTGTCCCCGGGGCTGCAGGTGGGGGCCTCGCTCCAGCTCGGGGCCGCGGGCGCTCCTATCCGCGGGGCCACGTGTTGTGTGTCCGGCTGCGAATGCGAACATGCCGTTACCCGCTTCGCCTCCGGCGGACCCTGGACCTGTGCGTCTTGGGCCGTGATTTATGAATACTGCTGCCGTGAGCGTCGGTGTGCGAGTTCCGCGTGGACGCGTGTGTTTGTTTTTTCTGGGTGTGTGTCTAGTGTGGACTTGCTGGCTTGTGCGGAAGCGGGCTACCCAATGCAGACACCGCTGGGCGGTTCGGTGCCGTGGTGGCCCCGAGTCACAGTCGCACGGCCTTGCCTGTGCTTGCTGCCGGCGCCCTGCACGCGCGATTCCCTCCTACGACTGACCCCATGAGTTGTTCTCTGGTGCTGAGAACGTGTCGTCTCTGCAGGCAGGTCTGCTCCACCTGCACGGGGTTGGGCTGCGTGTCCCTGTCGCTCCCGGCACAGGCCACAGGTATGCGCACATGTCTCTTCTCACATACACGCTTGGCAGAGGTGTGACCATGATTTCGATTGCTTAAACACCTGTTTGTAAGTTTGGTGAGTTCACACGTGGCTTTAAGCTCTGGGGTTGACTCGGGCCTGTGTGGCACGGGGATGTGCTTTCCCCCAGCAGACCAGGGTCTCGATACTTTCTAGAATGGCAGTGGGGCCTCCTGTGCATGTGCACTGGCGTGGGGCTGTTTCAGGGTCCTCTCCCACAGATCTGTCCACGTGTTAGAAGAGCTTGTTCCCATCCCCCCAAATACACATGTCCTGCCTTCCAAAGTCAGCTCGACCAGAGTAAGCCAGATCCAGAAGGATGGAACCTACAGGACCCCCTCCCAGGAGGGCCCCAGACGCGGCCCGTCCCCAAGCGGGAACATGGTCCAGCCTCAGGAAGGGAAGGACCCTGACCCTTGCTACGATGTGAAGGGACCCCGACGACACGGGGCTCGGCGAGAGCGGCCAGACCCAGAGGGACCCGTCCCGCAGGTCCCCACTCTCAGGAGGTCTGCAGAGGAGTCCCGTCCACACAGACAAGAGAGGAGGGGGTGGGACCAGGGGCTGGGGCAGGAGTGGGAAGTCCGTCCTTCATGAGGACAGTCTCTGTGTGGGGGGATGGGACGTTCTGGAGATGGAGGGCAGGGGTGTGAGTGCCTCCCTCCGTGGAACTGTGCGTGCAGAGACGGTGAATGTCCTGGATATCTTAACCACAGTAAAATAAATTTGGTTATTGGAGTTTTTTTGTGTCACGGGGTTTTAATTGTGTTTTGTTTGTAAATAAACGTGTAAAGCTGTTCTGTCCCCGTGTGAGGACGTACTGACTGCGGAAGTCGGGCCATGAGGAGTCTCGGGCACATGGGATACCGTGTTGGGTGGGTCTGCGTCGTCTGTGCGGCGGGTGCAGAGCCACTCCGTGGGCACGGAAAGGATCACGCGGGTCAGCAGGGTTTGTGGCTGGCGGTTTGGTGTGCGGCCTCCTCTGTCGCCTCCAGCAGCACCGGGCTTTCCTCTGGGAACATGTCCCTTTGCTGCGCAGGGACCACAGCCTCCGCTGCTGAGCACATCCTTCCCACAGCCCCAGCGCTGCTGTGAGCTGGGCGGTTGCTCTGACACCGGCCTAGACGCCCCTCCTAGGGTACGGGGTTGGGGGTGGCAGCAGGGGGGGCCCATTCACATGGCCCCAGGCCCCGGGACATTCTGTGAGCCTGGGCCAAGCCTGGCCTGAAGCCGGCCCCGAAGGAGTAAATCAGCAGGCCCTCCGCAAACAGCATCAGAGCCCTCGGCTGACTCTCCTGGCCAGGCTCCAGGGCGCTTCTCAGGACGCGCACGCCTTGACGAATGGGCGTATGTGGCGCGTCACCGTCCACCGGAGCGCTGGTCAGTTGGAGAGTTTCGGGTTCGTTCTTGTGACCATTTTAAGACATGTGTCGGACGGATCCCTTCTCGGCCTTTTGGCTAAGATCAAGTGTAAAACGTATCTTGGATCGGCCGATTTTTTTCTGTGAAAGGACAGGAATAGGTGTTTTCAGGTCTGGGCCAGATTGTCCCTGTTGTGCTCTGGGCAGCAGGGGCCGAGGGCAGCACCGAGGCGTGGGCGTGGGCGTGTGCTGTTGGCCAGCGTGGGGCCGCGGTTTGCTGGCTCCGAGGCCTCCCTTTCCGGATCTTTCTCAGCTGTGGCTGGCGGGGGAGGGCCAGGCCAGCTTGCACAGAGCGTTCTGTCCGCCACTGACGCTGTTGGTCTGAGCCGGGGGTGGGCTGCAGGGTTCGGGCCGGCCCCTCTCCCCAGCTGCTTGTGTCCCGAAGGGTGTGAATTGCATCTGGGTTTTTGCGACCAATGAAAGGTTGGCTCTTCCTGCTGTTGAGCCGTCCTTGACCCTCCAAGGTCAGTCCGGCGGGGCTGAAGGGGTCTGTGAGAGGAATTGGGGAGGGTCCCTGCTGGCTGCCGGCCGGCGGTCCGCTGTGCTGCCCTGCAAGGCGGCCCCAGCTCTGAGACTGGCCAGCGAGATTGAGGCTCACACTTGGGTGCTCGGGCATCGGCCACGCTTTGGGGCTTCGTGGCCACACCCAGCTGGTGGCTGCTGCCCGGACAGCCTGAATGGACTGTTTCTGCCGTCTGGGAGGTTCCTCCGAGCAGCCCTGGGCCGAAGTTTCTCAGGAGTACCTATCTGATGCCGGTGTGTGCACAGCCCACTTGGGCTGTTTTCTGGTGGAATTTCTCTTCCTGAGAGTCCTCTCCAGCGGGGAGCCAAAGACACGGCACAGGCCTCTGTGTCCCCCTCCCGCCGCCGCCAGAGAAGATGGGCTCAGATTTAAAACTTTATTTTAAGCAAAATGTGCACTTGAAAAACCTACATCGTGACCCGGGATGGACATCACACATGCCTACACCCCGTGGGGCCCGACACTGCCTCCTGGACCCCGCCATCGGGCTTCCAGCGTGGCCTTCCATGGCGGCCTGGTGGCCCACAGGGTGGCTGGCTCCGAGGGCAGGGCCACTCAGCAGGGGTGCACATGGCTTCTTCACACAGCCCCGGCACACAGGCGAACATAGGGCAGGCCTCTGCCTCTCCCTGTGCTCCTGGGAGCTTCTGGAAAAGGCAGCCAGCAGCGGCCTCAGTGCATTGGGCTCGCAGCATGAGGCCTCACAGTGACTAGACGTCCCCAGAGACCTCCTCAGCCACCAGCCGGCCGGCCCGGCGCCCCAGCTACACACACTCTGGCTGCCGCCCCGGGCCCGTGCCTGCCTCGAGCCGTCCACCGCGGAGCCCCATGTCGGGCAGTGGGACCTTAGCCACGTTGTTGCACTGGTTGGCGTTGAACTCAGCAAGCTGCTGGGTCAGGCCCTCCCTGTCGCCCAGTTGCTCCTCGCTGCCGCTGCGGCTGCCCTGGGCCACCTCCGTGCTGGCCTCGCTGCCCTGCTTCTCCTGGAAACTGAGGCGGTGTCCCCTGTCCGCTGGGGACAGCAGCTCTGAGGCCTCCTCTACCTCAGAATCAGAGTCATTGGAGGCCACCCTGGATTCTGGGAGGTCAAGAAAGGTGGGGGGTGGGGGAGGTGCGGAGACAGGACAGACGGACACGTCGTGACCAGGAAGGCCCTGGGGACGGGCGCCTGACATGCTGTCACGCTCCCCGCCTGGGACCGCCCGCCCGCCACCAGAGGGCAGTCTCTGGGCACAGGGCTGTTGCCGTGACTACCCCGCTGGTGACTATGCCACACCTCAGGAACACGTCAGACAGGCGAGCTCTTCATGGGATGCAAACCCACAGCTGTGCGGCCTCTGGGCACCCAACGTGGCCCCGTGACACCTCGTCGCCCGGCTGCCCACCTGGCTGTCGCCACCACTCACCTGGGCCGCCATCCGCCGCCTCCTGCAGGGGGACGGTGGCCCCCGCACTCCCCTCCGGGTAGGGCGCCTGCACCCCTGCCTCGGCCCGTGCCGCCTCTGAGCCATCCTGCAGGTGGCGGAACGGGGCTCAGGGAGGGCCTGGGATGCCCGCCAGGCCCCAGCTCTGCTCTCGTTCTCGTGAACCAAGAACCAGGAGAGCCTACAGCTCCTCAGTGCTCCCTGCGGTGTGCGTGACGTCACCGCGTCCCGTGCACGCGCGGGCTGCCCTGGCCCCGCCGGGGCAGCAGAGTGAGGTCCCACGTGGACAAAACCAGCGTGTCCTGCTGCCCCTGCACCCCCACAGTCCCGGGAGAGGGATGGCGGACCCTCCACGGGGACTAGCGCACGAGAGTGAGAAGTTGGGAAACCATGCACACAGAGCCTGCGGAAGAGAGCTGGTGGCACAGCCAGGTGACGTGGCAGGTGGGCGCAGCGGGGCAGCTCGTGAGCCGGAGCCCGAGGATGTGCCAGAGGCGGTGCAGAGAGAGATGGACGGACCGGCCGGGCTCCAGAGCCAGGTGGGGGAGGTGCGGCCACAGGGCTTTTGCACTGGTGGTCAAGCTTCCCCCAGTGGAGCTCTCCCTCTATCAGTTCTTTGCTTAAAAGATGCCTCTGGGGCCCCTCCTGACGAGCCTGCTGAAACCAAGGCTCTCCGTCCCAGCCCCCTGCTCTGAGGGGACAGCCCTGGGGCCCACCCCCACCTTCACCTGGCCCCCAGGCACCTCCTCGGGTTCCTCCTCAAAGATCAGGCCGTAGTGGGTGATGAGGGTCTCCACGATGCGGGCCTGGTGCGGGTAGTCGACCAGGGAAGACAGGGACACGGTGGCCTCGGTGGGCCTTGGCCGCAGCAGTGTGGGTCCGAGCACGATGCCCAGGTTCCCCGGAGTCATCTTGTTGTCCTGCTCCACCGCCACGATCCTAGGGTCCCGCGGGTGCGGAAGCAGGTGTGAGTGCCCGCTGGGGCTCCCCAGGCCCTGCCGACCTGGACCCCGGCCCTCACCTGCGCAGGTGCCGCAGTAAGTACGTCAGTGTGGCCCGGTTCTCGGGGGGCAGGTCCTGCAGGAGCTCCCGCAGCCGGCCCGCCATGGCCATGGCCGCGGCCTCAGTCTCTGCAGGGTCTGCCCGGCCCCGGGACGCCACCTTGGCCTCCGCCTCCGCCTTCAGATTGTCCTTGGCCAGCCCCACGAGCTCGTGGTAGAGGCGAAAGGAGAGGATAGGTTCGGGCAGCTGCGGGGGGAACGGATCGGTGGGGTCCACGCCCCGGCCCCGCGGCCCCACCCCCACCCAGCTGGGTCTGAGCTGCGGCCCCGCCCCGGTCCCACCTGCCGCAGGTAGAGCTTGAGGACGTTGCTGATGTCGTGGGGTGAGGCCTGTGACAGCTCCACCAGCTCCTGGCCGGCCTCGAACGCCTGGCACAGCTTCTCCACACGCGTCTTCACCCCGTTGAGACGGTAGATGCCCTGTGGGGGCGGCCGTCAGCCCGGGCCACGCCCGCCCCCCTGCCCGGACGGATCCCCCACGGCCGCCCCCGCGGTCACCTTGGTGTGCAGCGCCCGCTGCTCGATCTCACAGACGCACTTCTTGACGATGAAGGGGATGCCATCGGGCGCACCGCGGGCCGCCTGCGAGAAGTCCTGGCCGAAGAGCTGCAGGCGACCCTGGAGTTTCTTGTGGCCGCACTGGATGGCCAGCGTGTCCAGGCACTTCTTGTGGCAGGCGAGGCAGCACTGCGCGGGGGCGCCCCGTGAGCAACCCAGCCCATGCTGCCTCTGCTGTAAAGCCCTCCTGACCCTGTCCCCCTCTTGGCTGGGCGCCGCACCTCTGCCGCCCCGGCCTGGCTCCGACGGGCCAGCCTGCTCCCACCTCCAGGCCCTGGCCCTGGCGCTGACCTCTGCCAGCTGACTCTTCCCCCCCCGCCAGGGCCCTCTGGGTCTCCGCAAGCCTCCCTTTGCTCCCAGCTGAAGGGAGCCAGCTGAGCACGCACGCCCGGCCGTGCCGCCCCTCACCTCCTCGCACTCAGCCCCCTGGAAGTAGACGTAGCTGTTACATTCCCTGCACTTGGCCGGCGTGCGCAGCTTTCGCAGACGGTGCGTGCGGGCAGCCTTGGACAGCCCCACGTTGCGGAAAGGCCCACTGGGCATGGCCACTGGCAGCTCGGGGGCCATGCCGTTGAGGTCAGCTGAGGGTCAGGGCAGGTGGTCAGCCTCAGCAAGGCCGGTCGGGGCCAGGCCCAGCCGTGGAGTCCAAAGCCCCGCCCCACGACGCCCACTCGGGGGCCCCTCACCCTGCTCAAAGGCTGACGGCCCTGTGCTGCCCTCCTGGTCCACCAGCTCCTCGCTGGACGACATGGTGCCGCTGGATGACATCCGCTCCAACTTCTTAAAATCCCCTGAGCAGGAAACGGGCGTCAGGCAGCCCAAGCCCACAGGGGCCGGGCACGGGTCAGCCGGACCCTCCCCAGAGCTGGCTCACGGCCCTGCCTGTGTGATGAGACCCCCGCCCCAGACCCAGGCCAGTCACAGCTCTCCGCCCCCAGCCTCCAGGTAGCCAGGCCCCCTCACCTGAGCCAGGGCTGGGGTCCAGGCTGCCCTCTGAGTCTGACATGGTGGTGGGCCACGACTTGTGCACCTGGTGTCCACGCCCACCTGCAGGAGGGGTGTCCAGTGGGGACTGAGGGGCCCTGGGGAGGCCACGCCCACCCCCTACCGCCACCGGGACCTTACCCCTGTGTTCTTTGGCAGGTGTGCCATTGCTGGGTCCACCTTCCTCCTCAGGGCTGCCGGTGGCCTCTGCCCCCGTGGCATCGCTGACAAGGCTCCCCTTACGGGTGCGCATGACTGGGGACCTGGAGGGACAGGACGGGGATCCCGGGAGCGTCAGCGCACCCAGCCTCATCTCAGTGTGGGGGGAGCCCCGCGGCCCCAGGCACGTGCAGGCAGCTGTACCAGGCGTTGGCGGAGACGTGGGGCTCGAAGTCATAGCGCACGTCGGGCTCCTCGTCCCGCTGCAGCTGGCCCACGTAGGAGGCGTACTGCTGCCCCGGGTCGTACAGCTTGCTGCTCTCACACAGCATCTGGAAGTGCACGGGCAGTGAGGCCGTCTGCATGTGCAGCATCTGGTAGTAGGAGATGGTGGCCTGCGGGCGACGGGGTGCCGGCGTGAGCCCCACTGGCTGCGCCTCCGACCCCCCAACGCCGGCTGGAGCGCGGGACACGGTGCGCACCGACTTGATGGTCTGGTCGCTCTGCCGGATGACCTCCTGGATTTGCCGCAGCACCGTCACCTTCGTGTCCTCCAGCTCCTGCTTCTGCGTCTTGGCATCGGCCACACACGTCCGGTAGGTGGCCATGGCTTCCTCGGCCTGGATGGGGGCCGGGGCGCGCACACAGAGCTCAGCCGGGTTCGGACCTTGGATGTCCCCTGTCCCTGTCGGGAGCTGCACCCGCGGGATCGGCCCCCCACTGCCCTCTGCCCTTCCGCGCTCACCTTGTTCTTAGCCTCCTCCTCCAGACGCCGCCGCTTGTCCAGGGTCTTGGAGGCGGCGGCCCCGGGCCCCGTGACGGCCTGCTCCTCCTCGGCCTTGACCGCCAGGAAGTGGGCCTTGCCGTGGTCCTCGCAGCGCTGTGTGTAGCCCTGCTTGGCCTTGCGCAGGTTCGACTCCGCCTCTTGCTGCGGGCGTGGGGGCGAGGACGCCGTCCAGAGCCATCCTCCAGCGGGGCCCGGTCCCCCGGCTCCCCTCCCCGACCGGTCCCCTGAGCCCCCCGCACGTGCCCACAGCCCACAGCGCGGCCGCACGGACCGAGGCCCTGCCCCAGAGCGGACGGCAGGAGAACCGGAGGGGACGCCTGCAACGGGTCCCTGGGAGGACCCTTTCAGCCCCCAAAGCCGGGACGCGAGCTCCGCGACCCCTGAGGCCCCCGCCCGCCCCCGCCAGAGTTGCAGACGCGCTTCCGTCTCTCACTTCCCCTCGTGCACAGGAGAACAGCGAGGCCGGCCCGGCAGGAAGCCAGGCACCCTCAGGGTTGGCAGGAAGAGCGCTCGGTCACAAACCCCGTGGGCCTTCTGGGGGCCGCCCTGCGCAGCCTACACCGTCAGAGCCTGCCACGCCAACGCCAGCAGCACCCGCACAAAGTCCTGAGGGCGCTCTTACACGCGCAACACGGAACCCAGGAACCACATGAGGAAAGACAACTGCGGACACTCATAGGCTTCTACCCAGAAAAACAGGCCGCAGGTAAAGTCCCGAGCCAGAAGAGTAAACCGGGTGTGGGGGTCTGCGGCCCGCACCAGCGAGGGCTGAGTCCTCTCATATGGCAAGAGCTCTGGCAAATCAAGAAGAAATGGGCCTTTGTCCAAAGTGAGCAAAGGACAGGAAGAGAGGGCTGGGAGGAAGACAGGCTCGCCCGCGCACACCCTCCCCCAGACACCCGCTCTGGGCGCCCGTGGGAGACGACGGCCTGGCCGCTCGTCCGCAGAGGGGCCCCGGCGACCTTGGCACTACAGCCTGGAACGCCAAGAGCCCCGCAGTGCCCAGATGGCCCGCCAGTGGGACCTGGTGAAACAAGCCAAGCGGCCTCTACAGCCGTGACAGGTGACAGGGACGAGGACGCAGCTGGTGGGGGGGGTCGTAAAAGGCCCAGAGCCTGAGAGTGAACCCTTGTGGAGAGCCCAGAAGGGGAGGCACGTTTGCTGGCAGCGCCAGAAGGAGCTGGGGGTGGGAGCCGCGGGCCCTGTCAGCAGAGCTCGGAAGCAAGTGAAGATGCCAGTAGCTTCGGAAAAGTCTCACACAACCGCGGGGAAGAGACTTGCCCTAGACTTGCGAGCACCTCAGTCCCCTGCCCGCCCCACCCGCCCTGGACATGCCAGTCTTCCCCCTCCTGCCCGCACAGCCGGGGGTGGCGGGCCTGGCATCTGAGGGTTAGGGTCAGCCCCGAGCGGAGGCAGGAGACCACAGCGCCAGGCCCCTCCCGCCCCCGCCGGCGTACCAGCTTCCTCTGGGCGCGGTGCCACGACTCCTTGATCTCCTTCCTGCGCTTCTCATGCTCCAGCCGCCTCAGGTTCAGGGGCTGCAGGGACAGGCTGTGAGCAGGGGATGGCACTGGCGCAGCCCCACCCCCCACACCCCCACCCTCCCCACCCCCGACCGCCTGCCCATGCACCTGCGTGAGGGTCTGGCTCTGCAGCGTGCCCACCGCCTGCACCATGCTGTGGCCGAACTCCAGGTCCTGCTCCAGGGCCAGGGAGTAGATGGACAGGAGCGGCATGTGGGGCTGGGAGGGGAGGGCAGAGGTCACGGGGGGCGGGGCTACGCAGCCTCCCGGGCCCCGCCTCCCCGGCTTCCTCTGCGGGTGGCCTGCACCCCTCTGGCCGCCCCAGGGGTGGGGGTGCTGAGACACCCCGGCGGGCCCGGGGACCCCACCTGCTGCATGAAACTTTGCCTGCAGTTGTGCACGATCTTCTGCACACCTTTGGCGAAGTCCATCTCTGCGGGGGAAGCGGAATGAGCGCGGGGCCGCCGGGCCGGCCCCCACCGGAGCCCGCCCGCCGCGCCTACCCAGCGCCGTGCGCTTCTCCACGTAGCCAATGAGGTCCTTCATGTACTTGGCCATGTTCTTGGCGTAGTGCAGCGCGGCGTCCACGCCCCCCTCGCAGCGCTGCAGCAGCATGTCCACCTCCTCCGGGGCCAGGCAGCCTGCGGGGGACCCGCTGAGCGCAGCCCGGCGCCCCCAGCCCTCCTGTCCGCCCTCGGCCCGACCCGCGGGCGCCTGCCCATCCCGGCTCAGAGGAGGCTCACCGGCTTCGCAGTCGTCCGCGCTGGGGACGGCGCCTTCGCTGCCCGGGCTGTACAGGTTCTCCATGGTCTGCGCAGGAGAGACACGTGCATCGGCCCCAGGAGGGGCTCTGTCCCACACACCCCCGCAGGAGACAGCCACTTGCCCCCCACCCTAGACGGAGGAGACAGCCACTGCCCCCCCACCCTGGATGGAGGACACAGGAGTGCCCCCCCCATGGGGCCCGGCCCCATGCAGCATCCACGTCACCCCTGCTCACCTGGATGGGGTCCCCAGGGGGCACTGACAGGAGAGTGCTGCTGTCCACTTCCCCCATGAGGAACTCAGACACACTGCAGGGCAGGGCAGGGTCAGCACCCAGAGATGAGCGGGCCCCGCACACCCAGTCCCGTTCCACAGGCCCCGTGGCGCTCACGTGTTACTGAAGGAGAGAGCGATGGTCTCCAGGGCCTTCTCAAACTCCTGCTTGTCACACTCCTGGTTGCTCTCATAATGGAAGGCTGGTGGGCAGAGACAGGGATGAGAGGGGTTGGCCCAGGCCGGGACGCACCCACCCCTGCCTGCCTGCGACTAACTGAAGGGAGCCCTTAGCCCAGGGGCAGCACGAGAGCAACCGTGCCTATCAAATTGCCGTGCACCCTTCAAAACACACTTCAAATGTCCCTTCCTCCAGGAAGCCCTCCCAGGTGCCCCCAGAGCCCTCCCTGCCCTTCCTGGGGCCGGCTGACCTCTGATCTTGGCAATGAGGGTGCCAGCAGCAGTGAGCGACTCCACGGTGTTCAGCAGCGGGTACCTGGAAATGATCTGGCGCATCACACGAAGGGCGTCGCCCAGGTACTCGTGGGCCAGGGGCCGGCGGGCCTCGAGGAGGTCTGTGGGGCAGAGCAGGTGTGAGCAGGGGGGAGCGCCGGGCCCCCGGGAAAGCCTGCGTGCCGCCGCCTCAGAGCTCCTGACCCCAGAGGGGAGACTGAAGCAGAGGTGGGGAGGGCAGCTGCCCAAAGCCCACTCCGGGCCTCTCTGGGCTGCTGGCCAGGTCCGCGAGGGCCGGACCGTGGTTTAGGCAGTCCCTTGTGCTCAGGACACTCTTCATGTCCTCCCAGAGAGCAAGCTCCTGCTTGACCTTCACGTTGCAGTCCTGGTGCCCGCCTCCTCCATGTAGCCCCCTAGGCCACTTTCCTGCCACAGCCTCTCAGGGCCGCTCAAGGTTCTGTCCAGCCCGCCAGCCATTATCTACTCCTCCCTCATTTTGCAGATGGGGAAACTGAGGCACAGAAAAGGGAAGTTATTTCTCAAGAATGATGAAGCTTTTCCATGCACGCCGGCTTCGAAGGCGTGAGAACCCCAGACAGGAAGGCCCTGCTTGGCTTCATCTTGAGGGCGGTGGGGAGCCACAGAAGGTGCTAGAGTCAAACAGCATCAGGGTCAGATCTGTGTCTCAGAATGCGACCTTAGACAGCCTCCGCAACAGTCGCTCACGACCCGAGGATCTGGAGGTTCACGCTCCCCTGAGTGAGCCGGCCCGCCCCCTCCCTGCCCTGTAGACAGTCTTAATGAGAAAAAAGTGGTGTGTGCCGGCAAAGCCCTGTGCACACAACACGGCCCGCTTGGTAGGAGCAAAACCACGGGAATGAGAGGGCTGCAGACAGGGACCCAGGAGGACTGGCGGCCCGCTGGGAGGGCAGCCCTGACACCCACGTCCCCTCCCATGCCATACCTGATGGATGGTGCTATCCTTTCTCAGCACCCACGACCCCCACTGAAGGTCCCCACAGGTGAGGGGGGTGGCGGGGGGAGCTCCACCCCAGCCCCTCAGGCTCCTGCAGGATCCAGGGAAGGCAGGGCCACGCCCCTTCCCTGTCCCCCCAACCCCGGTGCTCCCTGCCTGGTGGGTGGGCCCTGCACTGTCCCTGACCTGGGGGCTCCCTGCTCTGGCACCGTCACAGTGTGCCCACATCCTCTGCCACAGCCAGCCACCCCACAGGCCCCACAGGGGCCCCATTGCACAGATGAGACACCTGAGCCCAGGGGAGGAAGCGGGGAACTCAGCCCACAGCCTCTCCTCCAGGCTGCCCGAAGCGGGTGGAAGGGGCCCAGGCGGTCCCAGCTTCCCGCACTTCGCACTTCGCCCTCGGGCTCAGCCCCGCCCAGTCCTGGCCTCCAAGGAAGCGCCGGTTCGGAAAGGAACTGAGATTAGACAGTTTCCCCAGGAAGCCGCTCTGGCCCCCGCCCCACCAGATAACCCTGGGGGCTCCCACCTCCCACCCGGCAGGGGCCAGGCCTCTGGAGAGGCCATGAGGAGGCTGAAGTCAAACCTCAGCTCTGGCCCCTCCTCAGCCAAGAGAGCCAGGGGTCAGGACCCCACGGAGGCCTCAGTTTGCAGATCTACAGAGCGGGGCCTGGGGGGAGCAGGAGCCGGTCAGCGCGGGGCATGGTCCGGCAGCGCAGTTTCTGGGAGGAGTGGGCTGCGGCCACGAGGTGCCCGGGACAAACAGGAAGCGGATGAAAATAACTCGGCAGGAGGCTGGGCTGTCAGCGCCACACGGAGGAGAAAGCGGAACTGCCGTCCCCAACAGACAGCTCACGCCTGCGGCTCCCATGCCAGTCCTGCCCCTTGTCCCTCCAGGAGCCCTCTCCAGCCAGGCCCCGTCGCTCCAACCCGCCCCACCTCTGCTCTGGCATTCTCTATGGCTACCCGTGGCCCGCGGGAGAAGAGTTGGGGTCCCCCCCACGCTGTTCTCGACGCCTCCAGCGTCCTGCACTTCCTACACCAGCAACGCCCCAAAGCTTGTTCCCCCGAACGTATCTCCATTTTGGGTTTCCGAGCACTGTCCAGGGGGGATGCTCCCTCCGCCTCCAAGCCTCTCTCTGCCTGTGGCCTCCAGACTCCTACGCATCCCTCAGGGCCCTGGTGGCGATGCAAAGCCTTCCGAGACGGCCTCTTTCCCTCCCTCCACCCAGCCTGGAGCCCGCAGGCTTTGAGGTATCTGTGTCCAGCTCTGCCTTCCGCCCAGGCCTCAGTGTCCCCGGGGCTGCTCACCGTCACTCAGGACACACTCCTTGAGCTTCTCAAGGGCCTTGGCAAAGCGGCCCACGTCGGCCAGCAGGTGAGAGATCTCGCCGGTATCAGGGCAGGGACCCTCGACGGGAGGCTCGGCGGGGCTGGCTGCGGCCAGTGGGCTGCGGTGGCCCCGACCCAGCGTCCAGGAGCTGGCGCCGGACAGCGGGAAGCCAGCGGCGCTGGCATGGCGGCTCAGGCTGGTGGGTCGTTTGAGGGTGCCCGTGGCCTTGGCATTCGAGGCTGCACTTGGCGGCTCCAGGCTGGGTCCAAGGGACACTGTGTCAGGCCCGTCTTTCCGGGGCAGCTCCTGGGAGGGTAGGGCAAGCTGGTGACCAGGGGTTCCAGCCCAGGCACTGCCTCAGTCTCCCCAGAAATGAAGTGGGGGTTCTGGAGGGTCTCTGGCCTGACCCCATGGGGGATCAAAGGCCAGAGGTCGGAGGGCCGAGATTTGGTGCCCTGCCCCGCCCACACCTGTTACCCAACATCCTCTTCCCCCGGCTTTCACAAACAACGGTCTCTGCCCAAACCACAGCCAGGGGTGGGGCCTGTGAGGGCGGGGGAGGGGCACCCCACTTCCTGGTGGAGTAGGGCGGCCCAAAGGGGGTCCTCAGCCTCTGTAGCCCCCTCCAGGCTGCCGCAGACACCCTGAGTCCCTGCTGAAGACGCCTTTGTCGATTCCTGTATGCCTAAGAGTCCTGTGAACCCCCAAGTTCCACAGACGCCCCCAGGCTTTGTAGATAGCCCCTAACCTTGTAGCCCGCCAGACCCCAGAGATGCCCCCCAGGCCCTCCACCCAAGGTGCCTATTTCGTGCCCAGCTGCCCTAGAAACCTTGGCCCCATGGCCACGGTCTAGCTCTCACCTCAGAACTCACCGCTGCCCCCAGACTCCCTGACCACCGCCCTGTGGTCCCAGACCCAGGGCCGCCCCCTCCTCAGCCCCCTCCCACCTCCTCCCTTGGCCCCACAGACAGCCCTGGAGGAGGCGGAGGGATGCGGTGGGCAGCCCAAAGGGCTCCTACCATGAGCTGAACGCCAGGGTCCCAGCCTGTCCTGCGTGGCCCGTGTTGTCCAGCCCGGTAGGGGCTGTAGCTGGTGGGAGCCCCCCGCCGCCGGCCCAGCATGGAGCCGCCGGGCCTGGGCCCCTGCCGCCTGGGTGCTTCTCTAAGGTCCCGCCCGCTCTGCAGTCCAAGGAGAGGCTCACTCACCCCCAAGGGCTGTGGGCTGGGGCTTCCCGCCCGGTTCTTTTTTGAGATGGAAGGGGTTTTCATGAGCTCCCGCTTCTTCCTGGAGAACATGGTGGGGCCCCGGGCTGGTGGCCTGAGACGGGCGGGCTGGGGTCTGGCAGGTTGGGGGTCTCAAGGCTGTGGCTCTCAACGGTGGCTGCCTCAGGCCCACATTGTCGCCGGCCATCCCCTCCCCAGCTGTCAGGCCCACGTGATAGGCCCGGCCCTCATTGGCGGGCCCTCCCCCCCACAGGAAAAGGCCTCCGGAGGGAGGCTGTGCCGGCGACTGGTGACGCAGACCTGCCCCCCACCCTCCCAGGCCTCAGTCTGCCCCTCCACGCAGCAGGCTTGAAGGTGGGGTCCCGTCTGGGTGGGGAACCACCAGGGTCCCACCCCCAGCTTCGGCTCTCAGGAGCTCTGTGCAGGTGCTGGCCCTGGCTCCCAGGCGCATGGGCGGAGGGGGCACGCGGCGGCACACCGCAGGGGTGCAGACCCTCTGTCAGACACGCCCAGATGCCACCAAGCGCATGATGACATGTAGGGACCTTAACAGCTCTGCAGACGTCAGGAAGCTCGCCCGTGGAACGGCCAAGCCAGAGCTGCTCTCTCAGACCTTGGGCATGGCATGGACATCTGCTATCCAGCCCCCTCCGTCCCCTACCTCTGGCAAACTGGTGGCACAGGGGACAGCAGGCCACCACCCCCTAGCCCTGTCCCCCCAGTCCAGGGACCGGACCCCAGGCATGCCAGGCAGCAGCACTGACAAGGCACGGTGGGAATCATGCCTGCGGCCACCACTCAATAGCAAGAGCCAGCCCCAGGGCGCTCAGGGACCCCCCACCTGCGGCTCCCCTCCCCCCACAACCTCCTCATCTCTTGGTCAGAGCCTGCTCTCCCCCATTCTTCTCCTCACCTCTGGAGTCCCACCGCCATCCCCAAACCCCAACCCTCTACCCTCCCTAACACAGCCCCCCAATGACCTCTCTGGGAGGGGCAGCTCTCCAGGGCACAGGGTCCACAGACCACCGCCCCGGGGGCCACAGCTGGCTCTCCAGGCCCGGGGCCACCCAGATGCAGCCGAGAAGCCTCTTTGAGGGCCCTCTGCCCACCACTCACTGTTCTGGGGCCTGGCTTTGGGGGTGAGGGCTGGTGGGCGGTCTTCTGGCCTGGTCGGGAGGCTGGAGGCTGGACCACCTGCGCTGGGCCCCTCCAAGCCGCCCAACATTCCCAAGCCTTGACCTCATGCCCACTTCATGACCGGGCACTCCTAGGTACCTCCCTGAGCCACCAGACCCACGTGGGCGTCCAGGTTCTTAGGGAGTCCCTGCATGCGAGAGCCCCCGGTGCCCAGCCTGAGACAGAGGCCCTCACCTGAGCTGAGGGTCTGGCCAGACTTGCGTGCACACACTTGGGGGGTGGTGGGTGTCCAGATGCAGGAGGAGGGCCGTGGCTGGGGACACACGCAGCCTGACGCCCACAGTTTCATGCCACAAGTTCTCTTTATTTCCCCCCGCCCCAAACCCCGGCCCTCCCAGCATCTCCCGCAGACCCCTCCGATGAAGGGGGCTCAGAGGACCGACTCGGCCATGCTGGGGTCCTCCAGGAACCCAGCGATGAGCCCGGGGTGCTGTGGGCGTGGCGCAGGGCCTTCCCGGGCTCCGGCCTCCGGCCTGTGGTCCTCCTCGTTCCCCTGGTCCTTGGAGAAGTTCAAGAATACCTAGGGGCGGGCGGCCGGAGAGGAGGTCAGCCCCAGAGCCCGGCCCTCGGCCCCCCCAGCTCCATCCAGGCGCCGCGGTCACCTCCTCTAAGGTGGTCTGGCTCACGGAGAAGTCCTCCACGCCGTGCTCCGCCCCGCGCGCCGCCAGCTCAGCGAAGACGCGGGAGAGGGCGCAGCGCCCTCCCGGCGGCAGCTGGAAGCGCAGGCGGCCGCCGTGCGCCTCGCGCAGCTCGGCCCCCGGGAACGCGGACCCCACGAGGGCCAGCGCCGACTCGGACCGGGCGGCGGGCACCCGCAGGGTCAGCATGTGGCCGGCTCCGAATCTGGGGCGGGGGGGGGGGGGGGGGGCGGGTCCGCGGCTGCTGCGCGCGCTCAGAGTCCGCCGGGCCCCACCGCCCGCCCATCCCCGGCCCGGCCTCCGACCACTGGCCCCTTCCGACCCCCGGCCTGCCCCCCGGCCCGCCCCCGCCCTCCCCGGTCCCCAACCAGGGCCGCGCCCATGCACAGGCTCCTCCCCTGGCCCCGCCCACACAGGGCCCCGCCCCCCCGGAGCATCCCTCGTCCACCTGCCCCCGCACCCACGCCGGCCCTGTGGGCCTGCCTGGTTCACGTCTCCCCCGCAGTCCCGGGGGGCCGAGTGGGCTTCGTGCGGCCCCGTGTCTGGGGCCCCTCTGGCCCAGCCTGCACCCCACCCCGCTCCGGGCCCCACGCACCTGTTCTTGAGGTGCTGCGCGCTGCCCAGACAGCAGAACCGCCCGTTCACCATGACGGCCAGGCGCGTGCACAGGGCCTCGCACTCCTCCATGCTGCCAGGAGCCCCGTGCCGTCAGCTCCTGCGCCCCCCGCGAGGGACCCCACTTCCAGCCCCAGACACTCCCCGCGAGCCCAGACCACCCAGTCCCAGGGGTCGGCTGTCACCGTGGTCGGCGCGTCCTCCCCACAAAGGTCAAGGCCACTCCATCTCTGACCGCCTCTCGCTGCCGCCGGGTCCACCTCGCTCCCCTGGGCCTGCACCACCTTGACCCTCAGCCTGGAGCGACCCGAGCGGGACCCACCTGTGTGACGTAAGCACCACGGAGCGGCCCTCCCGCACCACGGCCAGGAGGCTGTTCCAGAGAAAGCGCCGAGAGCTAGGATCCATGCCGGTGGTCGGCTCGTCCTTGGGGGGTGCAGGGGGAGATGCCATAAGCCGAGCTCCAGTCCTCCCCCCAGGCCCCGCCCCAGTCCCGCCCCCACGCACCAAAAAGACCACAGCCGGGTCCCCCACCAGCGCCACCGCTGTGGCCAGCTTCCTCTTGTTGCCTCCACTGTAGGTGCCCGCAGGTTGGTCCGCGGATTGAAGGAGCCCCAGGCGCTCCAGGCCCAGGCTCGCCGTCTGTGGGGTGGACCGAGCGAGAGAGGGTCTCGGGACAGGGGCAGTGAACGCGGGGAGGGGAGCAGTGAGCGTGAGCGTGGGGGGAGCAGATGGAGGGCGCGCAGTGAGCATGGGGGGTTGGGGTCAGTGAACTGGAAGTGGGCAGTGAACGTTGGGAAGCGCTGGCGGCAAATGGGGGAAGGTAAATAAGAGGGGAGGAGCCAGGATGACAAAGGGACCAGACCTGACCCAGAGGCAGAGAAGCCGGAAGGCCTCAGGGGGAGATGGGGTCAAGGCCAGAGTGGGCGGGGTCACGGCTGGGAAAGTCAGGTGGAATAGGAAGTAGGGGGCAGAGCCTGCAGTGTGCCACTCCAGAGTATAGGAGCTGGGGGACTGCAGGTGCCTTACAGAGGCGTGGCGGGGTGGGGGGAGGGGACGTGGACTCTGGGCCTGGCCAAGGAGGGCCAGGGTGGGGCTGCGATCCCGGGGTGGTGGGTCACCTGGGCAACCTGCGCCTCGGGAACACCGCGCAGGCGCGCGAACAGCTCCAGGTGCTGGCGGCCAGTCAGCAGCTCGAAGATGGCATCCGACTGAGGGCAGTAACCCATGTGGCGGTGTGCAGCCGCCGGCTCCCGGGCCACGCTGGGGGAGGGGACGAGGGGCTCAGGGAACTGGCTTGACCTGGGCCACGCTGGGGGCCCGGGGTGGGGCCTCAGGGCGACGCACCCTGGGCCGCTATGCTAAGAGGCAGGGGGTAAGAGGCAGAGTCTAGTCCACGTGCTGTGTTGTGGGGACATAGGGCTTGGGGCCAGCGGGACACGCCTGCACTGCTGAAGCACAGTCCCTGCACGGGGTAGGATGGGGTAGGGACCAACGAGGCTGGGGGCCACCCCCACCCAAGCCCCCTCACCTGTGGCCTGCCAGCATGGCCTCCCCACTGCTGGGCAGCGTGTCCCCAGTCACCATGCGAAATGTGGAGGTTTTCCCTGCTCCATTCACTCCCAGCAGACCGAAACACTGCGGGTGCCCCACAGACAGCACTCAGCAAGGCCCCAGCTCTGTCCTGGTGCTGCTAATTCCCCGGGCGGCGGGGGGGGGGGGGGGGGGTCCCAGTGTCTGCAGGAGGGCTGTGAGCAAGGGGGACCCCTGGGAGCAGTACTGGGGTGTGCAGGAAGCCGTAAAGCTGTCGCACGGCAGGGAAGGGTGGCTGTAGTTCACCAACGCCGGCACCCGGTAAGTGTCCCATAAAGACCGCGCACAGTAGTGGGGCTGGAGACTTGCGAATGCCTCCCGCCACGGCGGGCGCAGCGCTGGGGCTGGGGGCCGGCCGCCCAGGGTGGAGTGGTTGGCTGGCGCGCACCAGGCGCTGGAGAAAGCACAGCGGCAGCTACCAGCACCAGGCCCCCACGCGTTTGCAGGGCTGTGCTGGCCCCAGGCAGGTGGCCAAGACCCAGCTCTCAGCACACCCGGCTGCCCATCGCAGGTGCTGGAAGGTGAATGGTACAGGGCGCGGGCCTGATAAATGCTGGCTGTGAGCAGGCGCTTGCTACAGGTCTGTATACAACAAGGGCTCACTAAGTACTGTTAGGCTTGCCGGAAGTCGACCCTCACCGAGGGGGCATTCAACACTCCCCTGTATACACGTACACACACGGGCTCAGCACGAGACTTGGTCCCCCACCGCTGACCCATGGTAGGGGCTTGACTAAGGTTAGTGGCGCATGCATGGGCACCCCCGGTGCGCGATAATAATTTGCTGCGTCTCAGTAGAGGCTTTCTAATACTTTCCTGCACACAGTAGGTCTCAAGAAAGGGAAGCATGCAGTGGGTGCCTCCTGAGAGTGCACTGGCACAAAATAGGAACTCAAATGTCGGCAGTCAGCCGTTGCTCAGCAAAGGGCAGCAGGCGCAGACCAGGTGTTCGGTAAAGGGGGGGCAGGCACACAGTGGGGCAGCCGCTCACTGCCCCTGCCCCGAGACCTCCGCCCTGGGCCCTCACCTCACCAGGGGGGATCCCCAGGCACAGGCGGTCGACAGCTGGTGTCCTCTGCCCATGGTACACCTGGGGGGAATTCAGGGCCCTGAGAAAGGTGGGTGGGCCAGGGGGAGCCCCCAAACCCAGGATTCTGCACCCACCTTGGTCAGGTCTCTCAGCACCAACACATCCCCCTGGGTGTCCCCTTGGA